CCTTCCTTCCTTCCTTCCTTCCTTCCTTCCTTCCTTCCTTCCTTCCTTCCTTCCTTCCTTCCTTCCTTCCTTCCTTCCTTCCTTCCTTCCCTGTTGATGTTCAGCAGCCACAGTATTGTGCAGCAAGCAGCTCCATAGCTCGGTAACAACATACATGAGGAAGTACCTCTGTTTTACTGATTTTACCCCATGGTAATTTCACTCGGTGCCCCTAGAATTATTTTGAAACACAATTTCTCCCTGTAATTCAAGGTTGTGTGTACCTTTATCATATGCGCCTTTGTTGTTCTTCTACTGAGGAGTCCGCGTCTCTGCAGTTGTTCTTCAAATGGTAGAAACCATTCCAGGCCTTTGATTATCCTTCTGTGAGGTGCTTTTTCTTTTTAGTCGTCTGAAAACTACACTTGAAACAATAAAGGCCTCTTTCCAGTACACAAAACTTTGGTCAAATGCTAGGTTGTCCTGAGATCTGCACCGCAAGGAGTATTTCATCGGAACCTGAATGAACGTGCACGAAGCCTGGTCCCGATGGACTGGAAATGGATGAGTGCACAAGAAATTCTAAAATATTGGATATTTGACAAGTGAAAATGCAGTAACATTACGGAGCACATTCGGTGAATTATGGCCATCTTTATAGAGATCTATAGAAAGCCAGAGGAATATACTGGCTCAAGTCACTGCCAGGCAATTGGATAAATCCAGATTTAGTCTGTTTAAGACCAGATCAGAAAGCAAATGATACTCCTGGGGCAAAGGAATTTTGTAGCGCAACATATACTGCAAAGGAGCTTGTAGAAGCACAGAAGAGGGTGGTCTGGTTGGGGTGGTAAGGCGCAAAGGAGATGTAATGCTTTCTATCTCCTAGGCTCAGGCTGATTTTGGGAACATGAGCATTCCTTCCTAAGCAAGGCAGCCATAAGTGCCCCACACTTCAGTGGGGCTGGTGCCTCACTGCACTATGAGAGAGGGAAAGTGTACTAGGATGGAACACCCATTACAACAGACAGCATCAAGACCACAGCACACTGGTTAGCTCCCCAGAAACATTCAGCTGGGCAGCCATGGACAGAGAACAGATCTGGGCCAAATTTGTTCTATCAGCCAATGCTGCGATAGAAAGATCTAGTTTTAACACTTAAGTGCCTTTGGCATACAATACAGCAACTGGACAAGCAAGATGAAAGTGGAACAACAGCAACTTCAATTCTATTATGGATTGTGTTTTCATTCCGTATTAAATCAGTCTCAGTAATCTTCTGTGACATGTAGCCACCTTTTACAGCCCTCCTTTGTGCTGTCTTCTTCAGGGAGACAGAATAAATACCAGCTCAGAACTTCTCATTGGGTGCCCAGGAGGAAAAAGCAGGCAGACAAGACATAAAACGTTCCTGAGACTAGCAAGAGGACGTGACTACAATGATTATGTTGAATAATACTGCCTGTGAGGGCAGAAATATTGCACTGCCAACATAATGGAGAATTTTATAACAGAGCCCAAGGCATCTCTGAGGTGTCAGAACCCCAAAGCTGACCAGTGCATATGTAGGGGGAGATAGCTGTGAGTAGCCACTCAAACTGCCAGATTATATATTCTATCTCCCCAAAATGAACTTGAGCTCGAAAAGATGAATTTGAAAAGATTTGTGGTCTGCAGCTCTTTTTATGAGGTAAAATTTCAAGAAATACTGCAAGTCTAAGGCTGTGATCTGCAGAAAGACTATAGTAAACTTAGTCATTAAATAGTAAAATGGCATTTAAATGAAGAGATGCCCTCAGGGAGAAGGAAGAAGCAAAACTCCAGGGAGCAATGGAAGAAATAGCAGTTATCCTGGCCTGGATATATGCTTGATAAAGTTTTCAGAGACACAGGAGAGAGGCATACAGAGGTCCAGCATGAAGACTAGAGTTTCAGACATTCTTTGTCCTGTTGAATTCTCATTTGGCTGGCTGGCTTGGTCCTTTGTTGTGACCATGCTCGCATGCTGTGAGCCATGCGAAGGAGGCATGCATTGCTGCTCTGAGTCGTGGCCCTTTGTCATACAGAGGCCCCATCCATGCTGTGAGCTATGTGAGGGAGGCATGTGATGCAATGGCCTTCGTCCAGGAGAGCCCTGTGGTTGCCATGAACTGTATAAGGGAGGTGTGCAGCTTTCACCTATGAGAACCCTCTGGGTGCCCTGAATGGTTTGGGAAGCATGTGGCGCCATGGCCTTCGTCCAGTAGAGCTCTGGGTGCCCTGATGTGTGAGGAAGGCGTGTGGTGCCATGACTGACAACACTGGTCCATGCAGGGCAGCCCTAGGAGCCATGAACAGTGTGAGGAAGGCACACAGCATCACACTTGATGGTACATGTCTCTGCCCAGAAGAGCCTTGCTGATGTCATGAATGCCATGAGGGAGGTGTGTGGGAGCCAAGGCCTTCGTCTGTCAGAGCTCTGGTGCCCTGAATGGTGTGGGGGACATGGTGGCGCCATGGCCTTCAACCTGAGAGCCCTCTGGGCGCCACGAGCTGTGTGAGGAGACATGTGTGTGTCATCGCCTTCACCCAGGAGAGCTCTGGGTACCATAACGTGTGTGAGGTAGCTGCATTGTGCCATGGCAGGACAACCAACCCAGGGGGTGCCATGAGCGGTGTGAGGGAAGTGTGTGGCACCGTGGCCTGTGACTAGGGCTGTTTTGGGTGCCATGAACGGTGTAAGGGTGCACGGCACCACAGTCAACGGCGCCTGTCTCTGTTCAAGAGAGCCCCGCGGGTGCTGCCAGCCACTGGGGCAGCTGCGCGGTGCCAGACACCGCAGGAGGAGTCCAAGGAGCGTGTGGAAGCCACAGGGGCCCACGGGGGCCGGCACGTCCCGGCTCCCGCCCCGTGGCCGTCGAGTGACAGCAGCAAGTGCAGCGTGGCTATAAATGTGGGGCGGTGATTGACAGCGCGGCGGCGGCGGCGGCGGCGGCGGCGGCAGCGGGGCAGAGGCAGCCCGGCCGCCGCCATGGGCTCGCCGCGCCGGGCCCTCGGCCAGTCCTACGCGGGCAACGGGCTGCTGTTGCCGCACCGCTCGAGCAGCGTGGAGAGCGCCGAGGAAGCCGAGAATGAGGCCTGGGCCTCGCGGCCCGACCGCCGCAGCTACCTGCTCAGCATCCGCCCCGAGAACAGGTGAGGGCGGCCGCGGGGTGCCCCCGGGTGAGCCCCGTGCCCATGAAATGCGAGCGCAGTGGCCGTGACCTGCTCCACAGGAAGGGTTAAGTCCCATGTCCCCCTCGGTTGGGAGCTTGAGTGAAGGTGCTGGGAGGAGAGGCGAAATCCGGGGAGCTCGTTGGGGGTGGTGGGGAGGCAGTGGCACGGAGCGTGCCGGGATGCCGCGGTGGTGCTCGGGGCTGCCGGACGGAGGTGCTGGCCGAGAACAAGGTCTGAAGGGACAGTAGCATTGAGCACAAGTGCCTCAAGTGACGGAAAAAGCAGCGCACGAGAGATGGGGCAATGAGGCTGACTTGTCCAAAAAGGAATTAGAGAGAAGAGGGACGTGGTGTGCCCGTCCAGCTCCGAGATCGCATGGCGTTTATGTGCCAGTGGGATCAGCAATTTCCTTTATTTTTACTTTTAATTATTTCCTCCGTGAGGTGATGCTTCCGTGTGAAGCACACGGATGTGATGGGCAAGCTCAAAAGGATATCGCGGCCCCAGCGTCTCTTCTCCCGGCACACACAGCCAGGAGGGATGTGCCCGCGGCTCCCTGCAGGCTTCTTCCATGCTTAGCAAGGAGGAAGGAGCTGCCTTGACGCCTGGCACGCGGGTTCGCAAAAGTGATTTGGTGCTTGCTTGTTTGTAGCCCTGGAGGGGAGGCCGAGCTTGTCGCTTCCCAGAAAGGGGATGTATTTTTGTTTTTGTTGCTGGGGCAGGGATTGTCACTGTTGTGCATCTTTCTATAACAGGGCAGGTATGTAAAGTTGACTGTCTTGCTGTAAAAATCCTGATGGACACTAGCTCCTGTGTCTCTGCTTACTTCAGTAGACCCAAGCTGAACTGGCGGACAGGAGCCCTTGCTGACTTCCCTAGCTTCGTTATAATGAAGCTGCTCGGGTGTTATCCATGCCAGGCTCCAGGCAAGAGGCCTGGTGTGTGTGCGTGCCTTATCTTATTGCCAAAAAGGAATTTCTACAATGTAGATATGGACTGAGTAGCAATGAGAAGTGCGTTCCAGGGTAAGAAGTGGCCTTAGGCAGAGAGTCTGCGGTAGGAATAAGGCTCTTCTCTCTTGGGAAGTGTGAGAAATATGTTGCCACCTTAGGTTGAGGGACAAATAAAGCCCACAAACTATGTAAATGCACCACTCCTCAACTTGCATGCTCTTAAAATGAGGGTGCATTTTCCTTAATGATTTTTTTAAATGAGTGATTGCTCAAGGATTTATGCCTCAAAGAATCTGCCATGGGAAAATTAATAAATAGGACCCTAAAAGATGCGAACTTGGGAGTCAGATGTTCAAGATGGGGTGATGCCAAAGTTAAGTTGCTTAATGCAGAACCTTTACGCTTGTATCCTATTATGTAAGCTATGTGAATATGTGTGTATATATATATATATATTACACACCAGAGCACCTGCAGCACCAGCTAGTACTCATATAGCATCTACAACTTATACATGATTTCAGACTTCACACAATCCCAAAAGGGAGTCTGTAATAGAGTACAATATCTGCCTTGTACTGCTTAAAAAGTCCTTCATAAATTAGCTGTTGGGGTCCTTTGGTTGTCCAAAACTTGTCTTTCCTTCCCCCTTGTGCCCCACAAGTATATTGCAGTTTTAATGAGTCTATTTGTAAAGGAAGTTTCATCACTCCTTCAGATAACGTCTCCAGTGCTCCAAACTGTTTTTCCCAACTCCTGGAATCTCTGTAGCTACTGAAGAAAGTGCCAAGCAACGTGGAGCTCACGTGCACTGAGCCTGGCATGTTCCGGATGTGTTGACAGCTCTGCAGCTCGAGCACAGTAAATCCAGGCTGGGTCTGCAAAGCTCTGAGTGCTCAACATCTTGAGCTTGTCATGCTAGCAGTGTATGGTGGGTACACACCTATTTCCAAGCAGAGGATCTTTAAATTTTTGAAGGCAAAGGTATCTTGCCTTCGTCTTGCTATTTAATCTGTAGTGGGTTTGTTTTCCACAAGTTTGGCTAATCGTTTTTCCAACTGTTTATGCATTTGAGCATCAAAACCTATAGCAAGGCAATTTCATTTTGCTGAGAAAGATGCTCTCTGAATAGCAATGCTGACGTTTTTCTTCTATTCATAAAACAGCTTCCAGTTTCCCTGACCAAAAAAAAGAAAAAAAAAAAAAACGAGTAATACAGAAAGGTCTTGTTCCCTGCTTGGCCCTGAATGTATCTGCAAGTGTTGAAGACTGGAGCCAGGTGCAGTGGAAATTCACAGTAAACCGCCTTGTTGTCTGTGATGCGGGGTAAGGGCTCGAATGAAAAGGGCTTTTTGTCCTATAATTAAATAATGCTTCCTATCAGTTCAAAAACAAGCAAGTGGAATTGTGTGGCAAGACTTGCAGAAAGCAATTGAGCTTAATGAAATGCAGAAACATCTGGAGAGCTTCCCTGGGAGCATTTGAAAAGCGAGATGAGTGAAAGGCAGATAACATTCAGCGGTTTTCTTTTTGACGCCGAATGTATTTGAATTTGGTGCGTTTGAAGCTAATGGAAGCAGAAAACATAAGGCGCAGGCACAGAATTGAAATTGGAGGCTGCTGTGGTGGTTGGAAAGCGGAGCGCATATTCTGATCTGAAGAAAGTGTTTTTTTTCAGACTTCTCTATTCCTGTCATATATATTTATAGAGTATATTTAACTGAAGTCTTTACGTCCACTCTCTTCACCCTGCCACAGAACAAAGCACTAGAAAGTGAATAGTGACATGAGAGAGGCACTTAAAGGCATGGAAATGCCTTTGGAACAGAAACCGAGATTAGGGATCCTTACTTCTGCAAGTCTCCTGGGAAAGTTTCATCTATACTGTCGCATTAATGAACTGCGTGGAAAGAGTAGCCTGGGTGGTTTTACTTGGTCTAATTTCTTAGGAAGACAGAGATATTATGTAGATTGAAAGGATACTGATTTGAAAACAAGAACATGGTTTTTCCCCTGATTTTAACTCTCAGGAATTGGCTGTAGTACTGTAGACGCCAGAAGATTAGGGGTGTTTACAGTTGTCAGAGAACATTCATCCCTTATTACAGAGAATATGTAGGCTATTTACTTTCTGTGCCCTTTAGAGCTGCTCTTTAAGAATAACATTTCCCTTGAAATGGGTAGTTTAGTGACTGTAAATTCAAGGCACAATTTCAAGCTATCTGTTTTTCCAAGAGCTCTTCGAGTTTAGAGGGTATCTAGTTCAGAGATGCAATTTTACGTCGACTTGTGACAGAGGCTTCATCCAAGTCCTAGGCAAATTACTCTGTTGTCTTGGCATGAAACAATTTGCACCTCTTATCTGAGGCAGATGCCTGCCCCGAGGTCTTGCTAAACCGTTGATTCCCTGCTTGAATACCCTTCTGCTGTCGTAGTTTCATCTGTGTGGATATTTATAGGCTATAGTGACATTGCCTCTGATCTCTTCTTGGACAACTGTCTTTACTTCTTGTGGCAGTTCAGCTCAGGAGAGTGCTTTGCAATGATTTTATCTATTTATTTATTTATTTTCCCTAAGCCCCTGGCTCTTCCGGCTAAGAACCATTCCCCGTCATCTCTCTCTTTCATTGCACATGAAGTGGAAGAACTGTTGTTATAATCAAGCAAACTGAAAATACAAAAGTGTTATTTCCTGAAAAAAAATGCTTAGCTTCTAGGCTGGGGGGCTCCCCTGGTCAGCAGTTTCATGTCTGTAACTTCTTATAGGCTGTTGCTTTTGCCAGTAAGAGGTATAAATCTCTGATAAGAAAGCTGAAGCATCTGAAGGAATGGGGCTTTTCTGTCTTGTCTGACCAAAGTGTCTAAAACCGTGAAAGAAAACATGCCTCGTACTCACTCAAAGGGCAGAACTGATTCTAGGAATGGGTCGATCTGTAGTCTGTAGGCTCTCTAGGTGTTGGTAGGGTGTTGATACAGCTACCTGCACAGCCGTGCAGGGACACGCCTGGGAATGGGACAGTTTTATGTTACATAAATAAAAATTCCAATAATAATTCCAAGATGTGTTAATGCCTCTCTTTCTAAAGCACCCTCACCATATCTGCTGGAAGTTAAGGTATCAGAGCAAAGACTCATAGATGACGCTAAAGAATTGGGCAAATGGTGTTCTTGGTGAGCTCTTTTAAAATCCCAAAAGATATAGTGCAGGTGCAAATTTTGCTCTTCTCTGGAACCATCACAACAGAAATGTTTTCCAAAGCCCAGGATCACTTCATATTGCCTGATCTCAATGTCTCTTGTGCCAGTGCAGAGGCAGTTTCCAGGAGATGGGATTAAAATCTGCTCTTATTCTCAGTCGGTCTCAGCTAGAGAAGGGAAGTCTGGGCTGAATGAAGCTGCTGCTATGCTGTGCTGACTCTATCTCAAATTTTATAGCCTAATCCAAGGAGTGCAGAGTAGAAGAGCTGTTGTAGGGACAGTTGTATTTTCACCTTTAGAATTTCCCAGCCCAAACCCACTAAGCACAGCAAGTTAAGTGAGAATCCAGAGTCCTGGCACAGGCTGCCCAGGGAGACTGTGGACTCTGCTTCTCTGGAGGTCTTCAAAACCCATCTGGATGCCACCCTGGGCCACATGCTCTGGGTGTCCCTGCTGGAGCAGGAACATGATCTCCAGAGGTCCCTTCCAAGCTTAAACATTCTGTGATTCTGTGATTCTGTGAGACTGCAGCAAGTTCATTGAAAAGATGCCAGTTTATCTGAGCATTTTGTTGTACAATATTTGCTTTGCTTTCTGTTGTACTTCTCTTAATTCTTGGATTTCTTTCAGCTAGCTGCCGGGCTAATGTGGAGCACAGAACAAGCGATGTTAGGGTATGGTTACAGATCTGCCTCATCCTCTGAGTGCAAGGGGTTCATACAGGAACATATAACTTAATCCATTTATTGTCCTCTATCCTTGCTGTTAATGAAATCTAGCTCTAAATTATTTATACGCGACTTGATGTTCATCGCGGCTCAAAGTGAATTACCTTCAGGAAAACGCCTCATTCCTTCCGCTGTGACATCGATTCATTCTGTGACCTTGAGGAGCAAAGCCTCGATACGTCCCTTTCCCAGTCTGTAAAATACCAGTGTGCCTTGAACAACTCCATAGCACTCAGAGCTGCTCTGTCACAAGGTTGCTGATAATTTTTGCCACGGTATATGAAATACAAACACACTTGCCCTGTGTGTGCATGACGCACTTGATAAGAAGGGAGGCACATGGCAAGGAAGGGGACATAAGTGTAACCACAGGTACATGAAGGCTTTGTTGTTGGCTTTTAAATTCCCAAACGGTTAGCTCCCGATAGGCGAGAAAGCGTTCGGTGGCTTGTGTTGGTCTTGAGCAGTGTTAACCTTGGAGGCGGAGAAGTTCATGTGAAATCTTATCCCTAGAAGGCCGCATGTGCAAAGCATGCCCAATAATATCATGGGTCAGAACGGCAAGAGGAGGGAGAGTCTGCAAAGAGTTGTCAGGGTGAGCCTTTGCTCCTGCCCCTAAAATTGGAAGCACAGCCCTGGTTTTGGTGGGTCCTTATCTAAGGAGCGTTTGGCAAATAACACTTCCCTAAAAAGAGTGATTTGAAGTATTCAGGCTCGCCAGCATTGACACATTTCTCCCTTTTACTTGATGAGCCGGGCAGCTAGTGCAGCTCAATCAAATTTTTATGCCGTGAAGAGCTCTGAAACGTATTTGTGTTTCCGCAGCTCAAGCAGATCAAGTGCATGCACTTGTGTGTGTGAATTAGGGGCCATTGTGAAGTGCATTTTAGTGTCTCCTAAGCCTTTGTTGACGTCCATAGGAGGACATGAGCTGGAAGGAGAAATATATCTGAAAGGGGAGAAGAAATAAGGGAAAAAAATATCCTGATTGCATGAGAGGGCTTTGAAAATATGTTTTTTAAAGAAAGATTTGAAATTCCTATGTTTTTAGAGCAAATAACTTCTCAGCATGAGTGAGGTGATGTGCTGGCACAGGCCATCAACTTTTTAGTGATTAAAAAGTGAGTGTGCATGACAGTTTGCCCTCTTACCCTTGCAGCAAGACTGAAATTTAGCAAGTGCATGGAAAAATGAAGGAAAGACTGTCTTCAGTTCCAAAGAAAATCATAAGTAGTCAAAGGGTCAAAAACCATGGATGAGGAATGCCTGAAGATATTCAAAGCATCTGAAGAATTAAGGGAAATAGAAGCTACCCAGAAAAAGAGTAGAGGGGTTCACTGTCCTCATGGTCATGGTGAAGTGGCAGTTAATAACCAGCTCAGTATTTTTATAGCTAGCTCTTAACAAGATGTGCTTTGCTTCCTAGGTACCCCAGGCTGGATCTCCTTCCATTGATTTTAGGCACACTAAAGGCAGACCTCTCTGAGCTAACCAGCCAGAGCTCCCTTTCTCCAATGGAGAGAAGCTTGCACCTTTAGACCTGGATTTACCTGCTTTACACGAGGAAGAGATTAGCAGCTGCCTTGATCCATTGATTAAAACAGGCCCTGAGCTTGCTTAGAGGAGACAAATCCTCTGCAGATGCTGCACTTAACCAGCTGAGTCCTGTACTCCGGACAGTAACAAATCCCTACAGAGAACTGAGGATACACTTTGAGCTTGGACTGAAACTAGGCATACAGTTGCCGAGGCATGCGGCGTGCCTTGCTTGGCAGTCCCAGCTATCCAAGTTAATATATTGGTTCAGACCCTGATGTCGATCTGTTGGTGCAGCCCTACGTGGAGATACTGTCAACTTAATTGAAGCGAGGTGAAATGCCAGCTGCTTGTGGGCAGGCCTGGTTCGTTCAAAGCTTTTACAACTCGATCTTCCTCTCGCTGGGTCTGCAATCTGTATAAATTCTGCTCGTCTCCTTAGAAAACTGAGGTTAAAATTGAGTTAGTACTTGGGCTCTTTGTTTCGGGTTTTGTGTGTGTGATAATATCGAGGCCTCCCCAAGAGGCAGTCGGTCCAGTGCTCCGCATTGTGTTTCGGGATGTGCAGTGAATGAAGCCTGGGTTGCGTGCTCGACACCGCGAATTGGAAAAGCGCTGAACAGTGTTTAATTACATGATCACTGAACAGTGTTTAATTGCGTGATCACATACACAAGCACTAGGGAGTTGTGATACAGGCATTCTTTATTCCAGCTCTTGTCTTCTCAGCGATTGACTTTGCAACCAAGAAAAGACTCCTTCCCATTTATCTGTTGCAAGTAAGCGTCATTAAAAATAGATATCTATATATTTGCCTAGGCTAGCGTTCACCAGCAAGCATTTTAAGGTCTTCCTTCTTAGCTCCTCAAGAGATGTCCTTAGTGCATGCTGTACTGGAGCAAGGAGCTGACCATCAGTTTGTAGCAGTGTTTTATTTTCCAACCAGGGAGCCCATCACCTGCTTGTCCTCTGGCTGTGTGAACACCCGTGTTGGCACTGGGAAGCCATCAAGAAGGTGCAGCTAGGGGTGCAGAGAGTGAAGCTGGTGTCTGATGGGCAGGTGCTGCCCATGTTTGCTGGCTTAAGGCAACTTCTAAGCAGCTAAGACTCCTGTATTTCCATGTCTACTCTGTATTTGCTTCTCTGATCCGAAGGAGAGGAGTTAGAGCTCTTTGGAGGTTTTGTTTTGTCCCAATAGAAGTCTCTGTTTTATTTATTTTAAAGAAAATCAACTTATAGAACTGGTGTCTTTTTCTATTTTTTTCCCCCAGTTCTTCTAGTCACGTGGAGAATTTGCCTCCACAAGTGCTGCATATTTTTTTCAGGAGCAGTTTTCAGAATCCCTCTGTGGTCATTTTTTCAGACAAGACTTTGAATCCTGCTGATTTCTGGGCTCTATGCAAGTCCTGGCCATGCAGATCTGCTCATTTGGACCTGAAACCGTGAACCTCTCTTCTTCGTGCTGTCTCCTATAGCATTGCCATAAAGCCCAGGAAAGTTTAGGTATCTCATAGTGGTCTAACACAAACAAGGCTGAAAAGTTTCGAGTCATCTACCCACAGCAACGTGGGCATTTGGTTTCCTAAACAGCAATGCCCTGTAGGTATCTGCTCTGTGGTCAGTCCTGAGGCTACATGGTGAGCTTGTACCTGAAGTGCTTTCCTTTTTTTTTTTTTTTTTAAGCTGGATTTTAGAGGTTTGGTTGGCGTATCCAGAGCGGTATATAAAGCCTGTGGGGTTCTCAGTTTCTCCAAAAAGATGAGACCTCTGAACTTGGAGTACAGAGGGTGACCATGCTGGACACCACGGGTGACAGTGGAGAAAGGGGCTTTGCGGCGGTTCGCACTCTTGAGCGCCGTCGACTCGACCATCTTCTGGGTGAAACTGCCTGCTTTGCGCCCAAAGCTGCACATGGTGCATGGAAGGCTCAGGTGCTGCTTCTTGGAAACCTCCTTGTATAAATGCTCTTACATTTCCTCTCTGTGGTTAACGACCGTTTCGTTTTTACAGCCTTTGATTACCATTTACCATGCGGCTTGCTCGTCCTGGCAGTCAGCCTGAGTAAGGCAGCTGTACCTTCTTTTAATAGGAACTCTGACCTGTGCAAAACGACTCATCATTAATGCAGCTCTATAACGGTTTGTTGATTTCTGCTCCTTTCCATGCTTTTGGATTTTTTTTGTCTAATGGTTTCTGTATGCTGTTTTTTGCTTAGCTTATCAAGCAGCAGATTCTCTCTCTCCAGTTTAGGAAGGTAAAAACTACATTGCATTAAAAACTTCTCTGACCCAAGCACTTTGCTGAATCTGACTGCATGTGATTAATCTGCAGTGCCTTGGTACTAATTAGAGAGAGCACTGAAGTGATGCAATGGCTTTACTCTGCATGACCGCGTCTCTAATATTTGCTTGAACTGCAGGCCCAAAGTCATAAATCCTGTGTCAAGTGCAAGAAATACTCATCTCTGTTAGCCTAACCCTTAGTTAGGATGGGTATACAGCTTGTTCAGTTATTTCTTGATATTAAAGTGAGACTTCCATACAGAGCCACATTAAAAAGAAGAGTGTATGACCGCACTGAGATGTATTCGAAGGAGACGTTTTCTTCTTTCCCCGCTCTCCTGTGCTTTACCACTCTGCACTGAAACACATTCATGCAGTTACACAGTTTTGCCTCTGGCAAAACATCACATTTGGAAGTCAGTTGGCATCACTGATTTGTGGCAGAAGCAGTTAGAGAATTGACTGTGGAGGGAAAGACCTCCCCAAAACACTCCAGTAGGGCAACGAGAACACTGTTGAAGCCCACACTTTGCAAATTTCCTGTTCCTGAAGTTTGTTTTTGTATGGAAATCCCTCTTTAATGTACAAAGGCTACTGAATTGCCAGCCGCCTCCTCTGAGGCTGCAGGTCTTTTTTTCCTGCAACGAGGATGCGCTTTTGGGAAGGCTCTGAGGAGTGGTGGCTGCCACCTTCTATCAGCTTTCCTGAATGCTCCAAATTACTGGTTTAGAAAGCGGTTTGAACTGGACAAGTCTTGCTGCTGCTGGAATAAGTCAACTGGGAGCCGCACGGTGCAGCGGTCTCTCCAACCTGCCAGCGATTAATGCCTCGGTTTCTTGGAAAAATTAAATCAGCCTCCCAAGGTTTTCTGCGGAGGGCATGGAGTGTATCGGGCAAGTCTTGTCTGATTCATTCGCTGTGCCTGTAGCATCCCAAACTTCTTCTGGGGATGCTGCTTCCCCGAAACATTCAGTGGCCTTTGCTGTCTGTCGCTCGACGCTGAGGTTTGCACTGAGTAGACCAGACTTACTGGTGCTGCCTGCTGCTGTCGGTGGCACGCTGGCATCGTGGTTCTGAGTGTAACTGTGTGTATGCATCACCTGCACTTATGTATTTCTTCCTTTCTGATAAGATGCTGGCCGTGCTGGTCTCTCACTGAGATGTGATATGTCGCGTTGATGCTTGGCAAGTGCTAACCTCACTCGGTGGATCGAAAAGGCATTTACTGGTCTGGGGCTGGGCATCAACTGGGCCATCAAAACTCCCACCAGTAACTGCCTTGGCACCAGCTGGTCTGCCCTGCTCTTTGGAAGCAGGAGGTGCTCCTCCTGCTTTTGGAGTATGGGAAGGTTTCTTTGGTTTGAAACAACTCTTGGCTTCCAAAGCCGTGTGCTGGCCCTGTGGTGGTGTGGGGAGATGCTTGGCAGGACCAGTCTCCTGGGTCCTATTGTCCTCTGCGGAACGGTGCCTGAGCTGTGGCATCTGCTTTTCTTTACCCCCTGTGCCATGCGTGCGTTTGGATTAGACAGTGTTTCTGACCCTTGCTCAGTAGATGAGGCCAGTCGGCAACAGCCCTAGCTGCTCTCCCCTCTCCATGTCATTACCTGGCGGAAATGGTGCTGAGGAGCTGGGTGAGGCTCCTGCTGCATCCCAGTCGCGTGTCCCCCAGGGAATTCTGCTCCCTGGACCTCTTACAAACTGAGGCTAGCAGGAAGCCAGAGGGAAACTCATAGCACTGCACCTGCAGGTAAGTCTCCTGGTGTGGGGGGTGAGACAGGTCGCTTCTGTGCTTGGAGCGACTCGGCCTTGCGTGCAGCTCAAGTCCCTGCTGCAGTGCCTCCCAGTGCACCTGCCCTGGCTGCACCCACACCGAGAAGTGTGTTGGACTCTTTATTTTCCCAGACAAGTCTGCTTTCCGAGCAGGTACAGCATGAGTAATAGTGCCAGCGTCCTGCCTGTGAGCTGGGGGCTGCTTTGAGCCTGGTCTCCTCCTTGTAGAGCGCTCACTGTGTGCTAGGAGCCCTTCTGCCCGTGTGGTGGAGCTGTGTTGGGGCGATCTGGGGGCTTCTTCCATCTCTTGCATGTCTCTAGGAGCTGATCGCTCGTTCAAGGAATATATCTTTCTCTCCTCATAGCAGTGTAAGTAGAGCTGCCAACTCCCAGTCCTCTGGCAATTATTGTTATTTCTTTGGAGGTCCTGGTGCTTGAGACCTTGGGTTCATCTCCTAGTATAGACATTTAGCTTTTTAATTGCAGAGAAAAACCTGAAAAAGAGGATGCTCTTCACTACCAAGGGCTCCAGAGCAGTATCCAAATAAAGACCCAACTGGGAGATAAATCCATTTTTCTTTCTCAAATAAAGTCAAGGTCTTCTGGGGCCTCCCTTGGGGGCACTTTTCTGTCTCCCGAGGTTGGCAGTGCTGCATGAATACAGTGATTTAGTGCTATCCTTGCATAGTACTTAAATGACTGGGAAATCTAAGATCCATTTAATGATCTTCTGAGATGGTACTGGCTCCTTGGATAGTTCTGGCTCATGTCCTGGCCTGAACTTCAGGGTCAGTGCGTGAACTCCTGGTGCATGTGGCCTGTAATAACTACATGCAGCAGCTTCACCTATAGCTCCTAAGCTCAGGAAGGTGCCAGCCAGTATCCTTCAGTCAACTGTCCCCAAGGCACCTTTGAATTCAGAGGTCGAATGTTAAGGAGCCATATTTAGCTCACCCTCGGCCTGAAATCTGCAGAGAAATTTTTTCACAGGTAAATTCCCAGTGAATGGAGCAATGCTAGAAACCCCACTAGTGCAGTACCAGGAATGGGGAAGTGAAACTGACTGTTGGTGTCTTAAATCAAGATTGCAAACTGATTAAAGAAATGCTTGGGTGTAATCCAAAATTAAATTTCTCTCAAGAATTATTTCTGATAGCATTATAGACCAAGAAGATGCCTCCCAAGTGACCTTTTAAATGGACAGTGTCATTTTAGAATTGAAAAAACAGTCAAGTACCATCGCACTACGCTGGACTTGTGGACAACTGAACGTTGGGATGGTGGGAGGGAAAAGGGGCAGCTAAAATAAGAAGGCTCAACCATGGGGAACAGCACAGACAGATCTCTAAGATCAGATAGAAAGGCAGGGGACCCTGTGATTTCTTTCCAGGTCCTTCACTTCTAAGAAATACTTCTTGAATCTTCCAGGAGCACCTTCTGCGCAATCATTTCTCAGCTGACAGAAGAAACCCAGCCACTATTTGAAACCACTATCAAATCCCGTTCTGTGTCCGAGGACTCTGATGCTAAATTCACGTGCATAGTGACAGGTAACTGGCTTTGGTGAATAACCTGGTCCTGCCTCGCTTGCTGGACTTACGCTAATAAAACTCTAAGGCGAGGGATGACAAGACGACACACAAGGCCACTGTTGTCTGACTGCCAAGCAAAGGTTCAGCAATTGCATAATGTTCTCAGCTTTAATTTAAAGGAGGGGAAGCAGACATATAAGCTCATGTATTAAAAGAAACAAGTTTTAAGAGCTGAAAGTGGAAAATGCTACTTGCTCCTTGGGCTTGTAACAATTTATTGTCCTCCTCTAATCTCTGTTCCTCCTCTAACTGTGGACTAGGTAATTTGGTGACATGCAGCTTTGAAGACAACAGCTATCGTGTTGGGGCAAACCTTGGCTTTCGTTGTCTTCAAGTGACTAGAGTACAGCTAGGGCTATGCATCAGTGATAGATCTGAATATCTGAAATAAAAGCCAGTTTCTGCCCGGGGCTCTAAAAAGCTAACCTTGAGCAGAAACGGGTCTGATCAACAAGACAGGGAAGAGGGGGGCTGAAGAAGGGGGTGCATACTAAGCCATTGTAGTGGTGTGGCGTGGTAGTGTTGATGTTAACGCTAGCAACTGCTTGGCCCATGGGCTTTTCTTTTTAAGTAGAGAAACTAAAAATCTCTACTTTTGTCATATTTGTTTAACACTCTGTTGATCCTTCCTCATGTGCCCCAGGATATCTATTCCAGCAGGCTACTCGGTGGGAGATGTTTAGGAGACTCTAAGTTTCGGAAGGAGGAGAAAATCTCCCGTGAAGCTCTCCCACAAGTACAAAGCCCTTCCCGTGATGCAGGAGATCTAGGGTGCCATTGGAAACACGCTGTAAAGGAGTTGTGTGCTGACAACGGCAGGCTGAAGCTCTCATGTGGGAGCTGCCAACTTTGAATTCTTGGCCCTTCCCCTATAGGCTCACTTGTCACGGGTCTCACCCTCATCTTGTAGGGGTGCCACTAGTATATTGAGGCCACTGGCTGCTTAACTCCAACAGACCACTTCCAGATTCCTCGAGCAGAACTGGGCTGCTTGGACAAAGCTGCCAAGCAATCTTGTTCAGCCCTTCGTTAGGAGGGCTTGGTCAGTTATTTAGATGGAAAAGCTTTTTTACATATTGCACAGGAGAATGGAACTCACCAGCACTGTGTATTGTGCAAGTGAATACCTCAATGGCCAAAAAATGAGTTGTGTTTAGGTATGTTGAAAAATCCTAAGCCGTAGTAGACATGGTGGTTCTGTGCCTTCTGCCTCATCTTGCCTCCAAATGGAGAAATGAGTCGAAACCACAGCTTCCCTCAAAGATGTGTGATGGCACTGCTCTCCCTTCCAGGGTTTTGTGCCCCTTTTAAAGCACCTCGTCATGGCTTCTCACACTGGCTTAAGGTTTTGCTGGCTGCCCCTTGGAGGTGGCTGTTCCTTCTAAAAACATGTCATCTCTTGCACAGTCCCAGTGATACCTTTCTGTCCTGCAGACTGTGTCAGTGCAAGGGGCCCAGGTGTGCAGATGAGCTCTAGATCACTGTTAGACTGGAAAGTAGCTGATGGGGAAGGAAGGACTCAGCCTATGAAACTCTAAACTGCAGTGTTTGGAGATGCTTCAGCACCTGCTACAAGGTTTCCTTGGCAGTAGAAAGTAAAAACCATTTCTGTATCCTCCCCAGTACTGCTCCCCCAAACAGATGGAGAAACTCTTCACTGTACATTGCACAGGAGACATGTTGTCAAGGAATAACCATCTTTGCTTTTACCAAACAGAAGTGTCAACCCCTAGAGGTGGATGTGGCCTCTGTCTGGTCTGCCAGCCTTCCTGCACTGCAGGAAGATCCAACCTGGCGGGCACGAGGCTGTCTTCCAGCTTTGAGTGACCTGCTGGTGCTGTGTGGCACACTGCTATTTCTTATTCCGTCAGGAACAAAACTTGCCCTGGTGCTGCTCTCACCTTTGGAGGGAAATTGTTCAACGAACATCTTCAGCCTGTGGCCTATTGCAATATTGCACACCAGGAAACTGAACTGCAGTTTTTATACACTTTAAGTAAATAGGTCCACAGAACTAGAATTTTGAGGAAAATGATCTTAAAACCTGTGATCAGTTTGAGAAGCTCTTGCCTGCAGTCATATGGACTCTCCCAGGAGCCAAGGATCAATTTGGGAGTGAGGGTTGTGAGGTGGAAAGTTAGTTCCAGCTGCAAAATCCAATCAGTAGCTCAGCTCTCCCCACCGCAATGACTTTCACGTTCAATTGGGAGATAGCACAGGGAGAAATGAAGTACCTCTCTGGCTGGAAACCAAGGGGGAACCAGCATGTGTCCCAATGTTGCGGCTCGGATCCAAGGACACTTTGGTTCATAGACTTACAGGAGGCAAAGGGGAGACTGTCAGCTGCTACTGCTCCTGTTGTGACTCTCAAGACATGATGTTCATGTCTTCTGCTTCTTGGTCGCTAATGACAGTTACTTTGGGATGGTTGTGCAAACCTTCCTTTCCTCCTATTGTCTAATTCTCTAACCCTCTCTGCTTGCTACTGGTGTCCCTACTGTGTCCGATTTGATTATTTTTGATCAAATCCTGCATCAGTTATGGCACTTCTTCTTCTTTGGACCAATTCCTTCAGCCTAGGGGAGGATGGTTGGAGGTAAAGTGAGTTGCTCGTGTGGTGGGTGAAGGTCTGACTGTCCAGAAAAAAATGCATGTGATTGGTCAAAAGAGAGAGATGGAAAATGGGAAAGGATGGCTCAAGAGGAGAGAGCTGGTGGGAGGTTTAGGTGAGGATGCTGAGTGAAAGGAAAGGTGTGACTTGCTCAAGGCATGGAGAGTTAGACTGTTCTTGGTGAATCCTAATACCCCCTTGTTCATGTTACTGGAAGTCTCTTTGCCTTTGGAAGGACATTGGGGGATTCTCTCCTGAATGGCAGAAAGGAACAGATCTTGCCATGACTCTTCCTCCCTAAGCAGCCTGCAGCCTCTGCTTGTGCAGAGGAGAAACTGAAGGCCAAGGAAATCTGGGTGATGGCTTCAGAACTTTTCCCATTTTACTAAATTTCAAAAGCCCAGCTCTTATCCTCTGCCTCATTAAAAAAAAAAAAAAAAAAGCGTCTTTAAACATAATTACATAATTTCTCATGGTAGTTTTGGATGGCCCTTGCAAGAGTTTGTTTTGCATTTGAAGGCTCCTTCAAACTTCAAGAACTTGAAGAGAATATTTGATCCTAACTCAGCAGTTCCTCCGTGGAAAAAAACCTCTGCACGGAAAAAATCTCTCTGGCCCCACAGAGCAGCAGAGGACGGCGCCTGGCTCTCCCGCTGGAGCAATGCCTCCGGAAGAGAAACTTCTGCTGGGCCTGAAGACACAGCGGGAACGCGGCGGGAGCTGCCCCTCCTCCCCAGGAATGCACGGCACCGCTCAGTCTGTAACCGCGGGGCACTCGCTGCTGGATGTAGGGGACCAGCTGCTGGCAAATCCCTCTGTGCACCAGCTGCTCGGACAGGGGGGTCTGCGGGAGTGACAGATTTCCCAAGGACGAGCGCCCGAATTTATGAATGGCTTCTTGGGCTTCTTGTTGCATCCTGATGTCCAGCGCTTTGTCGCACGGTGCTGCCTGGAGCGTCTCTCTCCTGGTGCCAACAGCTCACTTGAAGGAGGGTGATGGTATCATGCGTGAAGCCGGGAACGCTGTGGCCCCTCAGCGGCCCTGCGTACAAGCCCAGGGGTTAACCCTGCCGCCCAAACTGAAGGAATTTATGAGCCAGGCAGCCTGCACTTGGGTTGCCTGCAAGGCGTTCGGCGGCTCCCCTCCCTGCCGTGCCGCAAGGCGTGCCAGGGAGCGTGGCCGTGGCCTCCTCCGTGCTCAGGCATCTCTCCAGCCCCTGCTTGGCTCCAGTTACAGTGCACAAGGAGGGGCAGGTGGCGGTGGAAGGCACGGGAACTCTGCAGGGCAACTGCTGTTGCTGAACTCCGCACGGGCTGAGCCCAGAGAAGGGGGAGCAGCCTTGCCTTGACCCTCCAGGTACAGCTTCCAGCCTGTGCATGCCCACAGCCCCCTTGTTGCTGGGGGCTGAAGCTAGTCCACACTTTTGCCACCTTAACCCTGCAGAGGAGGCAGATAGTCTCGTGGTCCCCAGCGTCGCGAGCAAGAGAGAGTTACACTTCTGCCAGGCAGATGTCAGTTAGGAATGGCAATCAGCTGCAGGGGCCATGGGGGGACATGGCAGGGCTTCTTGGAAATGAGATGCTTGCAGTTCCTAGAATGAATGGCGGGGATGGCTGTTCACAGGATATTAGGAAAATCCACCTACTGTGCAGGCCTCCTGAAGGTCACGTGCGTGGAGCAGCACTTGGGAAGGACAGGATTGCTCTGGACAAGATAATTGCTATGCGTGGAAATTTTGTTCCTAGTTCCTAGACCGGGAAGAAAGAGCAACAACCAGAAGCTCATTCAGCCCAGATCCTGTTGCCAAGCGTAGCCAGTAGGTAAGGTTGGAAGAAAAACCATAAGCAACAGGCTCAATCTATAGCACTCCTTTCTCTGGAATACTCTTGTGTTATTCTCCACGGAGCAATTCAGGGCTTGTTCACGTCAGCCACCAGTGTCTGGGGGTTTTGCTCTTGTTCCGAAACTCCAAGGAAGACGGGTGCTGTTTGTGGAGTGTGAGGTGAGCGCCTCACCTCTACCCAGAACAGAGTTGCCAGTGGCAGCGGTGCAGAAGTGAATAAGAGGGCAAAGGACACATGCTGTATAGGCAGAAAGGATGGAGAAGGGATACGTTAGAGGCAATGCAGAATGAGGGACCTCAGAGAGGAAAGGCGGAAGGTAGAGCCAAATCTGGAGGACTGTTTGTGCTTTGGGAATGGTCCTCCATGACTGAGAGAAGAGCAGGACAGGAGATGTTATCCAAGCCCATGACCCAACCCAATCCATTTACAGTGAAGTAAGTCCAAGCACATAAGAGGAGAGGGACCAGAAGTGGAGACAGGAGAGAAAACCAAATGGCACACAGGGAGGATGTTTGGTATGTGCTGCTCTTGCTTGTTCTGGTCAAAGACCTTCTGAATCAACCAAAATCAGGACGACTACTTCAACCAAACTCAGAGTTTCTTCTTACTGATGAGTCTTTGCTCCCTGTCCTCCTGCTACAGGGCTGCCTTCATGAGAGTAGATGTAAGCTGGGCTTGGGCATGGCCGTAGGTTGCCGGTGTCTCTGCGTGGTGCCAGGAGACTCCTCACTATGGAGATTAAAAGGCCCTGGCCAGCCTTTAGGTTTGTAGGTGGGCAACTGCAGGTTAGTTAGTGCCCTGTCTCTGACTTCCCTGATCTTGTGAGCCATTGGATCTGGACATTTTGTATATCCCTGGATAGCCACTGCTGGATCGCTTCCAATGCAGCCGTTGTTCCCACAGACCTCAGGGGCATTGGGGCTAGCAGGGAGACACTGGAGCTGGAGGTGCCCGCCTCCCTCATCCAGCAGTGCATAAAGTCGGTAGGGACATTGGCAGGAAATAGGCTTCAGATTCCTACCTTGGACTTTGAACACATTAATTTAAGCTTGGGGTATGACGTGACCATTGAAACTTGTATCCTGTGTCCTTAGGATTAGCTTGGCTATACCAAGAGCCCTGTCTGGAGTACAGGAGTGAATGGTGGATTGCTTGCTCAAGTTGTTTTCAGCCTGACAAACAGGCAACTTTTATTCTGAGTAAGAGCCGCTGTCAGGGAGATATGAGGACTGTGGTTGGCATGGGGCATCCTGGTGATCCACCACCACCTGTGAGGCAGGAGGACGTGTCTGTATGCCTGGCAGGCTTGCCAAGAAGTCACACATACCATGATGTCATTCTCCTGAAAAGGCAGGTGACATCTGTTGTCAAGTGACATTTGCAGGACATGGAGCTGCCTGTGATGCAATCAAGGTTGCTCCTGGTCAATGGAAACTTTTGGATCAGCTTACAGACTGACACTTAGTGAAATGTTGTTAGCTCCATGGAGGGCTGAAAGCCTGTTTTCCAACCTTAGGCTTAATCTCATAAAAACATATCTCTTCATATAAAAGTGACAGTGTGCTCACCTTCTGCTTGCAGCCAGCGTTACAGGAGACGATCTCATGATCCACTGTCCTCTGTTCAAGAATGAAGGGCTGAGATATTTTCCCTCAAAAATAGCCCTGTTCCTAGTAGTGATAAAAGATTTGGACAAGTGCATCTTGTTTCCACTCACAATACTTCTCTGATGTGTGATTTAAAGAATGGAATGAGCCCAGAATAACATATATCCTCTTCTGCCAATGTGTTTCCTTTTACTATTGATTCCTTGTCCCTGCAAGACCAAACTTGCTAGGCTGTAATGTTGTTCCACACGCTGACATCCTGCTTCCTTTCCAGGATACCCACAGCCAGAAGTGACCTGGTATAAGGATGATGAAGAGATGGATCGCTACTGTGGTTTACCCAAGTATGAGATTTTCCGTCATGGAAATCGCCACACGCTGCAGTTGTATAAGTGAGTAAAAAAGCTGAAGAGTAGTGGATTTACTGATGGGAGCTTTGAGCCTGTATTCCTTACCTGGAGAAGTTGGCTGCCTGCAATGTTCTCCCCCGGGGCCTGTTCTGGCTCCCCATTGCCATGCTCCCGGTTATCCCTTCCCCTTCTGCTCTTTGCTCAGATGACTCCTGACGTCACATCAGTATGAGATCCGTTATTGCATCCAAGGATGGCTGCCACTCTGGAAGCAAGAGGACTTCCAGTGGTGGTAGCAGTGCGACATCAGTGGTGAGACAGGATGAGAACACTAGGGCTGAGGGAAAGCAAGAAAAGGGACAGCAGTGACTGGACCCAGATGATGATCCAGGAGAACAGGCAAGATTAGGACAAAAGCAGTCCATAGGAGTGTTGTGGGTATCCAAAAGGCCCACAGACCTTGCCCAGATCCCTTGAGCACCTCTCCTAGTTTTCACCTTGACTGCAAGAGTCAAAGGTCTCCATTACGCAGACAAGACCAGCAGCTTCTTCTAACACAGAATGAAGGCTGCATTTCCAGTGAACTGAACACGCAGTAACTTCAGCCAGCAAAGACCTGGTTGTGTCAGGTCTCTGAGACCTGTGTCAGGTCTCTTGTGTCCTGGATTTTGGATGTGGGAGAAGGATGTCACGCCCTGAAAGTGCAGGATATTGATATCACTAACAACTCTGGTTTGGGCTTTCCAGCCATGCTCCAGGTTTCTGTGAGAGCCTAAGTGACCTGTTGCAGCAGCAGGGAGCTCCTTGGGCCAGGAGTCCTTTGGGAGCAGAGGCAGAAGTGATGGACATGGGTCTGTGGACTGAGCCGTGGCCTGACAGCATGATGGAGTAAAACCAGAAATGTAAGAATCAAACTCAGGCAGCGGGAAACTGAGAGCAGAAGGTCTTAGAGAGGGATGTGGCAGATGACAGTGGGAACGCTTGGTGCTCGCTGTTCTTCTTTCATCACAGACCTCTGCTGTCAGTGTCACAGCCTGGGGCGGAACCGAGTACTGACTTACATCTATCTTATCTGCTAGTGCTGAGAACGAGCGGAGGCCTGGGAGGGAGGCCAGTCCCAGCCACAGGTCTCCAGCTCTGCTGCAGGTACCTCAGGACAACACCTCCGTTTGCTGGCCCCTCTCGAGCAAGAATGGGGAGGACACGCGTGTGCAGCTGCGGTGCCTCGGGGAGGAAAGGTTGGTCTCATGCAGAGCTTTTTGCTTTCCAGGTGCAGAGAGGAAGACGCAGGCATTTACCAGGCCTCAGCTAGAAATCACAAAGGCATCGTGTCGTGCTCTGGGGTGCTGGAAGTGGGAACCATGACAGAGTTCAAAATCCATCAGAAATGGTTTGCCAAAATTAAGAGAAAAGCCGAGGAGAAACTGCGAGAGATAGAACAGGGCAAGAAACGTGGGAAAGAAAATGTGGAAGTGGAGAGGTTGCAGAGGATGAGCCCCGACCGGCTCCAGAGAAAGCGAAGGCTCACTAGGGATCTGAGTTTCCGGTCAGGAACCTCCTCATGGGTGAAAGAGGACGTGGCCAAAGTGCACGTTGCTGATTCTCAGTCCAGATTACGTGAGGATCCTGCTGAGCCAAAGGAACCAGCAGTGAATGCAATGAGTGGCTTTTCAAACAAACTGATAACGCCTTTGAAAGCAGAAGTGACCGCCAATGGAGATGTCTCTTTGGAAAGTGGGGAGGAGAACAGGAACAGCTTTCTTGCATACATCTATGAGACAGTGGAGGACCTAAAAGCCAAACCCCTGGCCAAAGACTCTGCTGCTAAAAAGAAAAAAAAGGTGGCAGAACCTCCAGCAGCAAAACAGGAAGCCTCAAAGAAGGAAGAAAGTGGAAGAGAGAAAGTGAACCCCTCAGCAAATCCAAGGTTTGCCCCTCCTGTCCCCTTGCGTAGGAGCGCACGTTTCAGGGTAGCAAATGATCAAGAGGTGGAAAAAATTCCAAAAATCAAAGAAGCTGGAAAACCTATGAATGTGGACACTAAAACTGAAGTGAATCAACAGGATTTGCCACCTCCCAAGGGTGAAATGCACTTCTCTTTGAAAGAGATGTATTTCAATAATCAAATGGAACCCCCAGTGGGGATGGAGGAAAGCGGAGCTACGGAAGAAGCTGTGAAGGAGGCTGTGCTGCAGCCCGGGGGCACCAGCAGACAGGCACAGGGTATTTCGCCTGCTTCACAAGTGCCAAAGGCAGCACCTGCCTCATCCGAGGAACAGAAAGGCCGGCAGGAAGGACTGAAGTCAGAGGGAAACAAAGCTGCTGATCCACAGGTAACCGGGACAGGGAGTAGCCAAGAGAGGGGTTGCACCGAGGAAATATTCTCGCCAGCTCCTTGCGCTGGTTGTGCTGCTGAAGGAAGCTGCTGCTGAGGCTTCAGGGATCTCCCTTACCAAAAGGCTTGGTGGGCTTTGTGTGCCCAAGCAGCAGAGCTTCCAAACGGACACCCCATCCCCGAATAAATGTCAAACGAGGTAGAGAGGGGAGCTGTATGCCAGGGCCCTTCAGCGGAGCAGCTGGTCTCTGCGCGGCCTGGGGGCTGCCGTAAGCCCTCCTGTTTAATCCGCAGGCTTACCTCATGCAGAATGTTTCCAAAGCAGTTAAGCAGGGAGAGCTGAATGGCTATTTATAGCTGGGGGGTGGGTGCCTGGTGCGTGCGCCGCGCAGCGGGGCCGATGACATCTGTTCCGTTTAGTCTGAGCCTGCGCTTCAGCCTGCCGCATTTAATGAGCCCTCCATGCAGACGAGCGCCGCATGCCAGGTGAGCCACGTGAGCGCCGCCAGGCTGGATTTTATTTACAGTTCAACGTGTATACGGTAGGTCTGGGCGGCTGCTGCTGCTGCTGCTTTTTGTTTTTTGGCTCTCCAGCCATTGGAAAAAGGCCACCGCAGGACGTGCTGCGGGGATGCAGAGCCAGAGTGCTGCACCTGCTCCTGACTCTCACTGCATCTTTTCATCAATGTCTATTTCTGTCCCTTAACCTGAAGCTTTTTCCATCAAAATACGAGACTCGAAGCTAGTGATCTAGTTTTCTTTCTGTTCCTCTTGTCCCTTCTTTTTCCCCTTTTTTTTTTCCCTTTCTGTTAATGACCCCTGCTGTGCTGAAAGATGCTCCAAGTCCAATTAGCATGTGCAGTCAGAATTTGGCATGTGAACATTGGTAGGTTTCTTTCCATAAAGACCAGGTAACACAATGCTTGAGAATGGGAAAACATCCACAGTGTGAGAGAGGGGACTGTAAAGTGAAAGAATTTCTCCAGTTGAAGAATTTCCTCTCTTTCTCTTCTAGATTTCTTTCTAGCTGTGCAGCCATAGGTAGCTGTACCAGTTACTGGTAAGCAACCCATCATGTTTTACAGTGAACCAAGCATGTCCAGGTGCTGGGCTCATTGCAGTGCAGCACTCCAAACACGTCTTTAACATGACCCACTGGTGTCACACGTTGTAGTGCAAATTCTCTCTGAGCACACAAGACCATGCAATATTTTCCCCATCTCTTTCTCCTGTGTTTTCATAGCACTTGCTCCTCGGGAATCTAGGGGTTGTTGGTACACAGTAGCTAGGCCAGGGCTGCCATTCCAAAGCCCGGAGTCTGTATGAAGATACTTTCCTCTTGGACTAACCATTCACAGAAGGAAATGTGAACTTAGTTATCATGCCTTATTGTAGACAAAAGCAGTACCATTTGAGTGCTTTAGCTTTCTTTAGGTGATGCCAGGAGGACTTGGACATATGTTTCACCAAGCAACTCATTTTTAAAGCTAGTTCTCCAAGCTGGTGTTTGAGAATATTTACACCCTTCAATACAAGGTTTGCTCTGCTTTCTCCTCAATATTTTTCCTCAACCAGAAAGGGTTTTAGCGTTGTGTTGCCCTGTCTTTGGTGCCTTGTGTTCAGGACTTCTCTTTTGATCTTGGTTTATCTGTTGCAGAAGGTCTCTGTAAAATGCCAGGATCTAAACTTCCTCACATGCAGGGGCACAACTGGTTTAGGACCAAGATCATTCTTGATATATGCCTTGCATAGTTTGGAAACTGATGCTTTTATTCTAACTGATGCTTTATGCCTCTAGTCTGGTGGGTTTGCAGTTACTTTAGGATAGGCATCGTGTCCCAGCAACCTTTACTGAATAAGCTTTAGTTCTTCACCCATGCTAAGCAAATTTGCCCTCACCCTGAAGTCCTCTTCAGCTCAAGGTATGTGCTCATTGAGTCTCACTGTTCCATTGAGGCTTTTTGTGTAGAACAGCTCCTATGAACTGCCAGCCTTTCCAATTTTCCCTTCTTTTGGGTGCTGTGATGCTAAGCTGGTTTCCTCTGGACAGAAGGGCTTGGATCTGGACATACTCTTAGGCTGGGCTGTGTCCTCCCCCATCCCTTTCCATGGCACTGAAGACCATATACTGAGAACGTCCCTGGGGAGTTCCGTGGGGTGAAACCTACCTTTCTGCCACATCCCTCCATCCATCAGGGCTTGCTAAGAGTCTAGTATTATCTTTCCTGTTTTCACCTAAGCACTTGAGCTCGACTTATGTGCCAGGAAAGTAGACAACCTAAACAGCACAGCCTACCTGCCCCAAAGACTCCATTTCAGAGATACAAAGCTTAAGACAGAGATCCTTAGGAGAAATACTTCAGCAACAGGACCTCTGGGAGGCAGAACCTTCTTGCTTAGGGAAAAGGGAACCTTTCCCATTCCTCTGTCACTCCTGGTGTCATTGTCCTGATGTTGCTCTCTGAGCACCCCTCAAATACAGCCTGCCTGACTAGCACCACTACCTGCCCTGAGCCTTACCCTACAAAAATACCTAGTGCTGAATGATTTCACCTGATCTCCACATGATTAAGCTCAGCTGTCTCGGTGGGCAGCTTATTGAAATGTCTCCTGGGGCACAGCTGTAGCTGGAAACCTTTGAGCTCCCAGAATGTCAAAGAAATGGGATGGCTGAATAGCACAGATAATGCTGTAGTGTACAGTTCCACTATAGGTCCTTGGGACAGCCTCATCTGGAGACCGTGTGACGTGCTGGTCGCACCATCGCAAGATGAAGACTGCACATATAGGCTAGGGGGCCAAGCAAGAAAGTTATACAAGGCCTCAGCAGTGGCTGGTGAAACCAGAGAAGGGTTTGGTGCTTGGCAAGGAGCTATGTTGGAGGGGATCAAATTAAAAGCGGTTGAAGATTTTAGGGAGGTAGAGCAGCCTGCCCTCTTGTGCACAAACAAGCCGTTGAAAGACAGAAGGATTGGAGCTGGTTAAATGAAAAAGTGTTTTATGGCATGTGACAGCAAGCTGTGGGACCCATCACCACAAATGCTGGCAAAGCCATGAGGGCCTCAAAGGCTCTCAAAAGCTCATGAATGCTGGAGATGCCAAGTTAGAATAATTGATGCTTCAGATCCAAAGAGAAGCCAAGCGCTGCAATGCGGTGTAGAGGAACCATACGTACCGCTCTGTGGAAGTGGGCAGCAGGGTTCATTTTCCATTTTTGCTGTATCTTTTTTACTAGGTTGCAGTAACGGTGGAAGCACAGTCTGCTGGTGGCTTAAAACATCCAGTGTTCAGTCCAGCGGCGGACACTGGTGAGCAAGTCAGCGCGTGTGAGGAGTCCGGGAAAGAGAGGCCCATCAGCCAGGAGACCAGAGAGTCTGGGAAAAGGACAAGCCCCAGGCTGAGGCCTCAAGAACCACCGAGGCCACTGGCACCTAGTCCTGACCACACACAGCCTGGCGAAGAGCTCCCTGCCTCTTGGCAACAAGCAGAAGGCCATTCCCAGATTCTCAAGAGTAGAGAGACCCAACAAGGACTGTCAAATGAAGAGTACAAGAGCCAAGTGGAAAGAGAGCCATTACTAAGTCAATCGAGTGCTCCAGCGCCTGGAGATGATATTCCTCTCGAGCAAAGTATCCGTCTGGTGGCAATAAAGGATGGGGAGAGCAAAGAGGCAGCAGCACCACTGCCTGGGAGCCAGCACCGGGCAGATGCTGAAGAGACCTGTGCAACAGCAGAGACACCTCCTGAGGATGAGAGCTGTGCCACAGCAGAGCCACCTCCCGAGGTTGAGAGCTGTGCCACAGCAGAGCCACCTCCCGAGGTTGAGAGCTGTGCCACAGCAGAGCCACCTCCTGAGGATGAGAGCTGTGCAGCCCCAGAGCTACCTCCCGAGGCTGCCGTTGGGGAGGTGAGAGGGATGCCTTTGGTGCTTCAGGAGACTGAAATGCCAGCTCCCATTTCAATCCTCGCTTCCAAGGCAGAGCCGCTTCCTGCTCCTGCAGCAGGGATGTTGGTGCTTGAGGAAGCACCGACTGCCCCTCCCAGCAGCCCCGGGGAAGAGGCTGCAGCAGGAGGAATCCTGACTGGATCCCCGCTGCTGCCGCTTGTGAGCCAAGAAATGGAAATCAAAAAGGCAGATGAATCTGCTTTGCAGGAGAAGTTTCCCGTGAGGTCTTCAGAGGAGGAGAGCATTGAACCAATGCCTGTGGAGCCTCAGAGAAAGGAAGGAAGAGAGCAAGGAACTGCAGCTTCAAGCCAGGAGCTGGCAGCACCATCAGGCACTTCTGAAGGAGTCACTGAGGTCCAGCCACAAGTACCGCTGGTTTTGCCAAGCCCTGAGAAACCTCAGGAGATATCTTTGGAGGAGAAGATACAACACAAAAACCTTGTGACTTCCTTAAAGAACTATCTACTGCTGCTTTTGAAAATGTCAGATAGCAGTAAGGAGGTCACAAAGGAGCACGCTGACCCCCACGAAGAGGAGCAGCCTACTGTGGAGGAAGCAGCACTTCCAGAAATTGGCATTGCAGGCCTGAGTCCCCGAACTTCAAGGAGAGTTTTGGAGAAGGTACAAAACAATCAGCTCTTCCAGACAGCAGAAAACTTACTTCTGACTCCCAGGACATCCAGGCGAATCACAGGTATGATCAATGAGGAATTCATTACCAGCAAGGAGATGCTGGCTAGCAGGCCTGTGCCACCAAAGAGACGCACGAGGGTAGCTCATGAGGCAGAGGGGCCACTCCAACTCTCTGTGCCCTCCATCGTGGTGGGTGGAATACCAACAGCAGGAGCAGGGCAGTCTCCTAATACTACTTCTGATGTGCGTCCAGCAAGCCATGAGAAAGAGAGTCATGGTGACCCTCTTGCCATGCTACCTTGTGCCACCCCAGAGGAACTTGCTTCTGGGGCGCGACGCAAAATATACCTGCCAAAAACCAAGCAGGTTGGGGATGAAGAGGACGCAAGCCCAGAGAGCCAAGGGCATATGAGAAGCCCTACTGTTTCTCCACGGCAGTCCAGGAAGAATGCAGCCCTGTTGCAAACCCCTGTCCTGGCTCCGGCTCCTCCTGCAGAGCAGCGCTCACCAACCCTCATGAGAAAGATGGCCACGCTGGAGGTCCCTAAGCTGTATGAAGAGCCCACAGGTGACAGCAGTAGTGACCGTGAAGTCCCTGAAGATGCTAAGCAGGAAGTACAACCGGCAGAGTCTAAGAAAGAAAGTAACCCGTTTAAAGGTAAGAAAAGAGATAATTCCCAACTTTGGACCCCGAATATCCAGATGAACTGTACTGTAGAAGCATGTTTCCCTGTTGCCTACAAAGAGATGCTGTCCAACACGGTCTTCTGAGCAGAGCCCTCTGTGACAGCTAGCTGGGGTCACATGAACTTTTGTGCATTTGCAGGATTTTCAGCATCAACCTTTAGCTGCTGGAAAGCCAAAAGTTTGTCTCAAATATTTGTAGAATCAGATGTAGCGAGGTAAGATGGACTAGAGAGAGAACTTCTGCCTGAAGCACAGGAGAAGCATGGGCATTGCAGAGAAAGCACCAGGCTCTACCGTGCCCTTCTGGGCTTAGTGCAGGGATGCAGAGGAAGGTCAGAGAAGATCACGCTGGTACTGGCTGTCAACACAGTCCAGAATTCCCTGTCCAAAGCAATTATGTAACACTCTTGTTCTTGGGCTGTGTGTCCTGGTCCTTTCCCTGTCTCATGCTGGTTAGGGATCCAGTGGGTGTGAGCAGGTTCTGTACTCGTTTTCCAATTCCATAGTCAATATTAGTTGGATCCCTGGTGACACGAGATCAGGAGAGGGGCAGCCTGGGTGCTGGAATGCTTGCGGGACACAAGCAAAACTCTCACAGAAATCAGTGTTTTCACAAATGTAGGACTAACCTTGATAAAGCCCTACTTGAGTGAGTAAATCTTGCCTTCTACATTTCCTCCGCATTCCTTTATTTCTGCATTGCCTCTTACTGATTCCAACTCGGTAGTTCTGTGCTGCACTGCTGAATTAATTTGTACCACTTTTATCCCATTGTATTTATCCAAATAGAGGTCTGAGACCTTTCTTGGGAAGGTAATGTCATGTGTGTAATGTACATGTGTACAAGGGGGTAATGTACATCTGGTACCTAAATCCTAAGCAGCGATGTTGGCTAGCTTGTCCCCAGAGCTGCAACCAGCACTGTGTATCTCACCATCGATCTCTTTGCACCCTTAGCTCCACAGGTGATTCGTAAGATCAGGGCAGAACAATTTTCCGATGCAACAGGAAATCTGAAACTTTGGTGCCAGTTCTTCAATATTTTGAGTGATTCCAAGCTGGTGTGGTACAAGGATGAGATCCCCGTAGCAGAAACTCGAAGGAGGTAAGCTGCCAGATCCGCTTTTTTAGTCTTTAGCCCTGGGGTTCGTGCATTAAATACAACTGGGGCCCTCATGTTTACTGAATTGAAGGTACTTCTTCTGTTAAGGCTGTATGGGAAGCTCCTTGCATGGTCTGTTGTGAGCTCTGTAATCACAGTGCCTGGGGAGGGAGGGAATGCCTGGATGGTGAATGGCTGCCCGACTTGTCCTGTTGATATTCCATCCAGAGTCTGTCTGTAGTCTGGGGGGTGATTCAGGGGGTTCCTGAAACCCAGGCAGTTCCATCTCCAGGTGAGGAGGAACTTCTTCACTGTGAGGGTGACAGAGCAGTGGAACAGGCTGCCCAGGGAGGCTGTGGAGTCTCTTTCTCTGGAGGCCTCCAAAACCCGCCTGGATGCCACCCTGTGCCACATGCTCTAGGTGTGCCTGCTTGAGCAGGAAGGTTGGACTAGGTGATCTCTAGAGGTCCCTTCCAACCTCGAACATTCTGTGATGCTTTGAACAGAGAGCCTGAGGTGGGCAGAGGTTGAACTCCAGTCTTGGGGAGGTCAGGGAAGGTAGTGTGTGCTCAGAGCTGGAGAGCTGGGTATAAGCTGAAAGCTGGGACCCCTAGGGATACATGTGGTGGTGGCAGTGCTGGGAGAGTCTGCTTGCTTCACCCAAGCAGACACATCCATACAAGCAACCCTGGTAAGTGTCGATGAGGCAAAACAAGATCTGCCCATACCCTCTCTACCTTTGGCATTTCCCCTGGGCTTGTAGAGTATCTTCAGTTTTCTGGATGGCTTACTGTCTTCTGGATATTCCTTTACATGCAGTAGGGAAAGCTGTTTGCTCCGAATCCTAGGCAAGCAATGACTTGTGTGGCAACATCATCCACACTGGATGGGATTTGCCTGATGTATCTGCAAGTCAACTGACCTGCCTTTATGGCGAGCAGGTAGAAAGAGGTGCATTTGGGACACAAATTGTCTCCCGTGGCAGGTATCTGGACAGAGGCAGATGGACTGGGAGCAGCCGTTTCCTTCTGACTGCACAGAGTGCAGCCAGCTCAGCTAGCGGGTTGAGAGTCCCACCTCTTCACTGTGCTTTCCCCTCTGCACCAGTCCCCTTATTGGTTGATGCTGGCCACACAAGATAGAAACAGACCGTTTTATTTATTTATTTATTTATTTATTTATTTACTGGAGCTATGTCCACTTAGGCTAAGAGAATCGCCAGCCCAAAGCTTGGTGCTACGGACTGGAGAAAACCTGCTGATGCAAAGCTGATTCTCTACCAATTCTCTGGAGAGGGAAGGCTGCAAATGGAAAGTAGTATCTTCCTGCATGCTCCTGGGCTAGCTGGGAAGTGAAGGGCCATTTCTCATCAGGCTTTGCTTCCTTTCTAGCCCTTTTCCAATGCTCTGGAGGCCGCGTGGTGCCTGCGGCAGTGTAGTAGCCTCTGATAGGGCTGACCTGATGCTCTGGTTTCTCGCAGTGCTGGTGATGAGGGCCAGGCAGCCCTGGCCATCGTGCAGGCATCCCAGAAGGACTGCGGGGTCTACCAGTGTGTGATAAGCAACGAGTACGGCACTGACTCCACGGATTTTCTGCTCAGCCCAGAAGGTGAGGAACCTCTTAGCAAGTTGGGCAGCTCTCCTGGTCTCTGGAGTGTGCGGTGGGGTGGCACAGAGAGCCATGGAAGGGGCTTGGTGTTGGGTCATGATGGGGTAGTTCGGTGAGCCCTGTCGCCAAGGGGGGTGTCTAACTGTGCCTTCCAGCAGTGAATCCCACCTTGGGATCACGTCTCCCTGGGACAGTGTGCGGGCAAGTATAGTGGCAGAGGGCACAGATTTGGGCTGGGTGGGGGGCTGGCTTTATCCTCAGGGAGAAGGAAACCCTAATGACTGTGGGAGGTGCAGTGAGCCTGGGCAAGAGCCCTTCGAGGCAGCAGAACTAGATCTTAAGTAGAGCAGCACATGATGGCCAAGCCAGGCTTGTCGTTACTAATTTATGAGTGATTCAGGACCTTTTCTTTGCGATCCCTTCATGTGAAAGTGCAAAGGGCCTTGGGACAGAGTGAGGTCCCTATTGGACCCTGAATGCTCTCCTGCCTTGTGTCTCCTCCAGTGCTGTCAGGATTTATCTTGCGGGAAGAGATTGAAGGTAAGGGCAACCTGCTGCGTCCACCTCTTGCTGCGTGGATGCAGGCAGCTCAGCAGCAGGGGCAGGGCGCGCTTGCTGTGTCCCTGCTCACCAGCTCTTCCCTCCACCAGTTGGTGAGGAGATCGAGATGACGCCGATGGTGTTTGCAAAAGGCTTGGCTGACTCGGGCTACTGGGGGGACAAGTTCTTTGGGCGTGTTGTGAGCGAGGACATGGAAGTGGGTGCTGGCTTCCTGCGCAAAGCCTGCCGCGCCAGGGCCATCTACGGCCTGGAGCCTGTCTTTGAGTCTGGACGGACCTGCGTCATCAAAGTGCACAATTTCATTGTCTTTGGGACCAAGAATGAGAACAGCCTCATTGAGAAGAACTACGATATCACCATTCAGGTGGGCAGTGTGGGCTGACACCATTGTGGGGTTCTGGGCGCCCGCCCCTTATCTCCACCACTCCTTCACTGTCTGACTGAGCCACAGTCCTTAGCTCTGTTTCCTTTCTTTTTATTTCCTTCAACTTTTCAAATGTTCTGGTAGGCTGAGCCAGGCTGTCCCTAACTCCAGCTCTTTTGTCAGAGCAACACAGCGCTTCTTGTAGGATTCCTGTCGCTTGTCCTTTGACTGCCAGGACATGCAACAGACAAGGGATCCCGCAAGGGATGTGGCGGGGAGGCTTGGGCACTGGCTGCGTGCTTGATGTGAAGCAGGAGAAGGCCCTGACTCTTCTGCTTGAATTCCCAGGAATGTAAAATCCAGAACTCCAGCCGAGAGTACTGCAAGATCTTTGCTGCAGAGACACGAGCTGTTCCTGATTTTGGAGCAGTGCCTGAGTAAGTAGGATGCAGTGACTCTCTGTTGGTATGACAGCAGGGCAAAGCGGCTGGATGGTGGGGCGGGTGCCCAGGAGTGATCCTGAAGGGTGGTGCACTATTCCCCTATCCTACAGGGCATCAAACCCAATGGAAGAACCCAATGCCGAGGTGTGTTAAAGAAGTCTACCCCCGGGAAGTTGTGTGTTGGGGGGCAGAAGGGTGCCAGGGATTGCCAAGCTGACTTCTAACTCTAGCAGAGGTGGAGAAGACCATGTTTGAAGAAGTCTCCATCTGCTGAGGTGGGAGAGCATGTCAGCTGGGGCTAACCCCAACTGTGTGTTGTTTTGCAGGATAATTCCCCTGTACCTGATTTATCGACCGGCTAACAACATCCCCTATGCCACGGTGGAGGAGGACCTGGGGGGCCCCTGCGAGCAGTACTGTGTCACCGAGAGAGATGGCAGCCTGGTGGCAAGAGGCACCTCAGAGGTTGTGCTCAAGTGCTGCACCTTCCAGCACTGGGTCTACCAGTGGACAAATGGCAACATCCTCGTGACTGACATGGAAGGTAATGGGACCTCCTGTCTGATTCTTGTGGGGAGGACAGGAAAAGCCCTTAGGCCTGTGTGCTAGGAGGGGGTCGTCCTTGCTCCAGGGGTGATGGGCTTGCCTTTGGTACTGATGCCTAGCATCCTTGTTTGGGCATAGACTGGTTGTTCTGTCTTTCATTGCAGGGGTGGGATGGAAGGTGACCAACGTGAGGATAGCTACCAATCTGAAAGGGTGAGTGACCCTCCAGCCGCTATTTCAGGGCAGCCCAGGCTGTCTGCTGTGCTGCTGCTCGTGGCACAAAAGCAGCAGTGCTGTGGTGAGCACAGCCTGGCTCCAACTTCACTAGCCAGTGGTTAGCAGCTCAGTAAGACCAGGCCTGTTGTCTCGAGTCCCTCCAAGCCCGCAGAGCTGCTGGTGCTGGAGAACCAGGCAAGCGGGAGGTCTTGCATGAGCCAGGGCTGAGTGTGGCTCTGTTGACAGGTACCAGGGCCTGAAGGAAAGCTGCTTCCCATCCCTGTTGGAGCAATTTGCAGCAACTCACCAGTGTAACCACTACTGTGCCATCCTGGGCCTGAAGACTCTGGAGCCAGCCAAGCCCAAGGGCTCCAAGAGCCCCTCCACAGGCAGGAAGTCTACCCAGTCCAGCCCCCAGCTGCCAAAGAAGGGCCTGTCGAGTCCCCAGGGCACCCGCAAGGCTTCCGTGAGCCCCAAGAGCTCCCGGAAAGCTGGAGAAACAGTGGAGGCCCAGGCAGCCTCCAAACACCGGGCTGGAGAGAATGGCAAGTGCGGCCACCCTCAGTAGCCAGAGCCGCCTCCGCTGGGACTCTCCGCTCCGGCCCTGAGGCCGCGGGGCCAGGCGGCAGCGTGAACCCGTCCGGCCCGTCGGGAAGGGGGAGACCGCGGCCGCAGCCGCTGCCACCGCTCGCCTCCCTCCGGCTCCTGCCCCGGCTCGTAGCCCTTGTGTTGTGTGTGGTGTGCTAGTGAAGGAGCGACCTGGCTGGATTCAGAGCTGGGGGCGTCAACGGCGCTGGCCCCCAGCCACCGTCTCCGTTACCTCTTTAATGTATGTGGAGCCTCTTTAATGTGGAGCCTCGGGGAGCTGCAGAGCCCTGTGCACTGGGGCTTGCTTGCCTCTCTAGACTGTCTTTTTTAGCTTTCTTAAGCTCAGCACAGGTCAGCCCTTGCTCCCTGGGCTTTGCCTGTGCTGAGCTGATCCACAAGGCCCTTGTTGCTGGCAGTGTCCCCAGTGCTTGCCGAGGTCGAGGGCAGCCTAGGCTCTACTGCCTCCCAGCACCTTGGTGCTCCCCCTGCACGTGAACACACCACATCCAAGCCTGCCAGTGCTCCATGGCATGGCCCTGATGCCAAACAAGGCCGACACCGTTCGCCCCAGCAAAGCACCACAAAAGCTGACACTTAGTTTTAGCAGCGAGCCTGCAGCTTTTGTGCTTCTTTGCTGCTGCTGTTTTGGGGATCCTGCCATGCGGGAGGACACTCGTGTCGGTACTGGTGGCTCATGGCAACATGGGTTTGCACCCCTGCCTCCCTTTGCCCGTCCAGCTTCCTCCTGCACCCTGGGGCAAGCATCGTGAGGTCCCAGCACCCTTGCCAGGTGGATGCTGAGGCTGGGGATGCTGCCTAGGGGTGCCAGCCCTGCCCCTGCAAGGCTGCTCTACCTCACACCGGGCACCCGGGAGCTGGGGGAGGCCTGCCCTGTGTGCCAAGGGCTGCTGTGGCACACGCGACCACTCAGCCTGCTCCTTCAGCTCACTGGGTCTTGCCACCCCTTGCCCATTTGCCATATGAAAACCCTGCCCAGCCACGTAGCACCAGGTAGTCACCCTTGCTTAGCACCACCTCCCTGAGGCGGCAGCCATACCCCTGTGGAAGGGTGGGCTGCCCAGCCCTGGGACTTACGCCTCTTGGCCCCTGCAGGAGGTGGTGATGGATGGGCAGTGGTGCTCAGGCTGGAGAGTGAAGTGCCCCGAGTTGCATCAAGCATCCCTCAAACTCACCAACGCCTCAAGGTGCACCTCGGCCAGCAGAGCATGGTGGCAGGCGGCGCTTGCTGTGGTGACGCTTGCTAAGAGCTCCTGTCCCAGCTCTACCTGCTCCTGTCTCACTGCGGAGCCTCCCCTTCTCTAGGGCTCTGGAAGATGGGGTTCGGTGCCTGACGCCACAAATCACACGGGCACCGGTGTCCCATCCCAAGTGTGGTTTACAGCAGCCAAGCAGAGAAGGGGAGGGCTCAGGTCACTGTCCTGGGGCCCTGGTGCTTGCCGTCAGGTCGTAACAACGACACCCACACGGCCACACTGGTGAATGGCTGTGCTCGAGTGCAATAAAGCGAGAAGGACTGGCCTGTTTCCCTGTGCTGTGGTCCCTGAGGAAAAGACATCACAGCTCTCTGTGGGCAGATGGGGCCACCTGCGTGGCACCCAAGGGAAGCAAGGTGATGCGGCTTGTGTTCGGAGAAGGATGGGACTTCCAGGAATGGGGAAAAGAGGGTGGTGGGGACCAGTTCCTGAAGGTGGCACCTGGCAGAGGCTCAGCTCACAAGGTCTGCAGCAAATCTCAGCTGTTGTGAGCTCCAGTTGCAGAGGACAGCCCGAGCAAAGCACCGTCCATCCTGTCCCCTGCAAGACAGCACGGTTGGGTGCCTGACAGCAGCACAGCAGGCTCATGGCAAGTGCAGGGACATTTGCAGGGTTTATTGGGGAGCTGTCACCTCCGTCTGCAGGGCCAGCACCTAAGTGTGGGCTGCAAGGCTCATGGTACTACCTTGCATCCATGGGGCAGAGGGGAAAAATCCAGATGCATGGGGCTGTGCTGAGGATTTCTGTGCCTTTGGGGGCAGGCCTAGCAGATGCAGGTGCTTGCAGGCCCTTTACCCAGAGCAGGCAGCTGCCTGCACCTTCGGGTGCTGCAGCAAGTCCAGGCTCACCCTGCACAAGTCGTATGGTTGTAGTGTCCACAGCACTGGATCAGGCAGGGCACACTCTCCTCCACACCTGCCCAGGCACCCGTGAAGGAAAGGGTCCCGTTCTCCTCAAGCACTGAGCTGGAAGGAGAGAGAGACACAGTCAGGACAAGCTTCAACTTCTTCAGTTGCCACCCCAAAGCCAATCAGTGGCATCCTTAGGGCAGGCTGCCCATCTGCTGTGCCATCCCGGCGGGTGCTGGGTGCCAGCCATGCGGTGACACGGAGCTGTGGGGTGTGAGGGTGAAGGAGAGAGGATGCCTGGACAAGCTGCAAAGTCCCTCATCCACCTGTGGCTGCAACCCCAGCACATGTGGATCCCTACGTAGCACCAGACAGCGTGGGCCTCCCATGACCTGGCCATGCACCCACCTGGCAAAGAGCTGCTTGCAGCATGTGTACATGGTGTAGCTGGTGGAGCTGAAGTTGGTGTTGCTGAGGAAGGTCACACAGTCGGTCACCTCTGTTGGTACGTAAAGGAGGCCTGGAGGACGGGACCTTGTGGTTAGGCTTCTTGGACCCAACCCATGCATGCAAAGCCTGTACTGGGACTGTGCTCAGGAATTCTGTATCCCGCATCTGGACATCCCCACCACATCTTCAGGGAGCTCCTGGGAGCTCCTTGCAGTACCACAAATCCCCACCCTCGAAACATCGTGATCCAAGCTCTGAAGAGGGTGAGGAGCACCTGCAGAACTGTGGGGAGAGCAGGTGACTTTGAAGGCCCTTGCAGAGCCATGGGAAGGGCAGGTCAACTTTCCCCATCTTGTCACATGCATTTGAGGGGTTTTCCCTCTCTGCCTGCCCCTTCAGGGCCCTTTCTTGACTCTTGGCTTTCCCCTGGGGCTGCACAGCAGCAAGCAGGGACCTACCTGCCAGGCAGGCGTTGAGCATGGAGACGCAGATGCCGGTGAACAGAGCTCGCAGGACAACGGAGGCAAGGTCGCTCTTGCGCTGGGGTACCATGGAGGCTGTGGGGGCAAAGCAGAGACCGGTGTGAGCTGGATCTTTGTCCTTGCTCTGCTCTGAGTTGGGAGCAGCTGCCAAATGAGGTCCAGCATCCCTGGGTCCCCTCTGCCACATGATGCACCCTGCACCCCTAGGTGTTTCATCAGAATCCCCAGGGCTGTCAGCACTGATGGCGCTGCCCCTTCCTCAATGACCTGGACTCGTGAGTTGTGCCATGGCCTTCACCTTTGAGCACAGCGCCAAAAGCACCCTTATCACCTCGTGCAAGTCCCATCTCTTAGCCATGTGCTGACAGACCCTGGATGCAGAGGCTCACAGACAGCATGTGCCTCCTAGCGCAGCCCACCCTGGGCTGGGCATCCCACTGTCCCAAGCTCTGGGACTCAGCCCCCTCGGATGTGGGTTGCACTCACTCAGGCCTCCCAGCATGATCCCGATGGAGCTGAAGTTGGCGAATCCGCACAGTGCAAAGGTGGTAATGCTCTCAGCTCGCTCCTGCGGAGCACAGCGGCAGAGGGTGGTCATCTCAGCACAGCAACAGCCCCGAGGCCCACAGCACCCAGAGCTGAGCTCAGCACCATGCTGTACCTCCCAGCCCAGTTGGGCAGGATGGAGATGAGTCTCCCTGCAACCCTGCCCTTTCTCCTCCTGACTTTGGGAGGAGCAGAGAGTTAGCCTTGGGTTAAGTTGCCTGCAGGAAAGGCTGGGCTGAGAACATACAGGGTATAGAAAAACCCTGTAACACCATGATCTGTCCCACTGGAGAAATGGAAGAGGGCTTCACTGACTGCTTCATGATGACCCACCAGCCAGAATAGCTGGCCAGAGCTGCCCTCCCACCCCAACACAGTCATCCACCTGCACCCATTTCACCAGACACCATCCCTGCCCTCTGTCAGAAAAGATAGCAGGTGCATCTCACAGATATCCACTGCTTTCGGTTCCCATCCCACTCCTCCAGGCCTGCCAGACGGTTCTTCTTGTATGTGGCCAGCTGCTGGTATGCCACAAATTCGTTCAGGAAAATCTTGATCCCCAAGAGCTCGGCCACCAGCGGAGAGTCTGCCCAGTCTGCCCCCATGAGAAAGGCCACTGGCATGAGGACGTAGGAGCAGATCACCTGGGAAGAGCATCCCAGAAGAGAACTCAGAGCTGAACATCTGCATAGCTCCAACTTGGTAGCTGCCAGACACCGAAAAAGGTGAATGCTGAGCACGAAGGCGTCTTGGCAGTCTACTGAGGTAGCAGGTAAGAATAGGGATGGAGGGACACCATAGACAGGGGACCTGGCAGGGTAAGGACCATGGGCTGCCTTCATGGTCAGTGGTGGCTACCTGGAAGGAGAGCCCCTCGATGTCCACCATCTCCCCAAACCAGCGCAATGCAGCATTGATAAACTCCAGCACTGCCAAGAAGGCGATGAGGTTGGCTGCGATGTTAGCCACGAGTCCCACGGAGGCAGCAGCCCCATTGCCAGCAGCTTCCAAGATGTTCCGCTCCTCCCTGCAAAGGAAAAGAGCTTAAAGGGCTCATAAGGCCAGGCATCCCTCCACGCAAGATCCTGGATGTACCTGGATGTACCACACTGTCTCCACATGACATGGGCTCTCCCAACTTCATGGTTGCTCAGGACCCCTGTATCTACCCCCAGATTGTTTCCACAGCTTCCCTGCCTGTCCATCAGGACAAGGGCAGCCCAACCGCTTCCCTCTGCCCCCACTCACCCACAGGAAAGGCGGATGTTTTCTTTGCCCTTGAACTTGGACTCTTCGACTTCAGGATAGACGAGCTTGGACATAGCCAGCGCGCAGGGTGCAGCCATCACGGAGGCCGCGATCAGCAAAGCTGCGTCTATCTGCAACACGCAGAGCCCGCGCTCAGGCCTGGCACCTCGGTGTGAGGAGGCGCTGCCTAATGCGCCAGCCCTGGCACAAGGCTGGTGTTGGCTCAGCCAACACCAAGGCTCTCGTTTGCTCAGCTGGCTGATCAAGGTGGGATCCTATCTTGGCTATACAGAGCGCTAAAGGCAACCTGTCTGAATGAAAGCGTTGCTAGAGCCATGGCTAGCACGGAGACATTCATCTCTCTTGCTCTTTGACCTCCTCTAGATGATTTCTGTTCCTGCTGTGTCCCTTTTTATCACTATCAGAGCAAGAGTTCGTGCAGTTTTGCGAACTTTTACCTGCTGACGAACATCCAACCTTCCTGCAGGAACGGAGTATTACAGTAACAGCTTCTTCTCATCCCTCCCCTGCCCTCTGAGTGGTTATTTCTCATTTCCCTGATCTTTCACCCTTGGCTTTCTGTTTAAAGAGACTAATTAATGTTTAATTAGCAGGATCCCTGCCAGCAGGTTGAGGGGAAGGATTATTCCTCATTACGGAGCACTTATGAGGGCACATCAGAACACTGTGACCAGCTTTGAGAGTGTGATAAACTGGAGAGACTTCAGCAAAAGATTCCAAACGGGATCTCCAAGGAGATGTTGAAGGAGCTGGGCTTGTTTAACTGGGAGAAGAGAAGGAGCAGGAAGTCCTAACTGGCATTTCCAAATACCTTGAAGTGGGCTGTAGAGAAGACCAAGACAGATGCTTCTCAGAGGTGCTCAGTGGAAGGAGAGGCAACAGTCAGGCTACAGTGGGGAAATGCCAGTTGGACATAGACAAACTGGGGCATCATCAGAGTGCTAGAGGGGATCTCCACCCATGGGGATGTTCACCACCAGGACAAGGCTCTGACTACCGCACTCACGTTTTGCCAGGAGTCCTGCTCTGAACAGAAGGGTGGATCAGAGACCCTCAGAGGGTCCTTCCAGATTAAAATATTCTGAGATTTGATTATAAGATATATGTAGATCTCTGAACAAGGGCATGAAATGAGGGCACCAGGGCAATTTCTCTGAAGCAGCAGGAAGACCCGTTTTTTGCCAGGCTAGCAAAGGGGAGGCTGGACATGCTCCAAAAAAGATGCTCCCCAAAAAGTATGAGTATGTACCTGCTTACTCATGCACTCACCCCAAAAGAAATGTAGGCTCCCATCACACTGCCTGCTATGGTGGAAAAGCCACCAGTCATCACAGCGTGGATTTCTGAGTTGGTCATGTCTGCAAGGTACGGACGGATGAGCAATGGGGATTCAGTCTGCAAGAGAGAAAACCCTCAAGGAAGGACCACATAGGGCTGCACGTCTCCGGGGAAGAGAGGGGAAGACCACTGCTCTGTGGCAGACACAGCTGTAAGGGCTAACGAGATGGATCTCTTCCTCAGCTTACCTGTCCTACAAAAATATTGCCTGCCACACTCAGGGTCTCAGTGGCAGTGGTGCCCATCGAGACCTGAAGCACCCAGGAGATCTGTGGAAAGATAAAGACACGAGCTTCAAAAAGCAGGTGCTGTGCTCTGTTGTGGAGTGGGACAGCATCCAGCTCTCCAGCCCACCCTCAGCAAGCTGCACAGGGGTGATCTTGGTGAAGACTGCATAGCAACATCAAGATCCACAGACTACAAGCAACACCAACCCAAGAGCTTGGCTTTCTCAGGAAGACATGCAAGAAAGAGGGATTTTGTGTCTATCATTTTAGCAAGGCAAATTACCCAGATTAGTATCATCCCATTTTTCATGGGACATCCCCCAGGTGAGCGGGATAGTTAGAGAAAGCACCCGATCCTTCTCATTTCCACCATTATGTCAAAGTCTGGTGTGAGGCCCTACCTTGAGAATGATCCACTGCATGATGCCAAGGTAGTAGAGGATGGACATGACACAGCTGAAGAAAACGATGATGGGCAGAGCCTGAGGGCAAGGCACCAGGGCACAGGATTAAAGGGGAGCTGAGCAGCACATCTAAGTACACTTGGGGACCAAGGCTCCCCACTCCTTAGGCTGGGCATGCTGTGGTGTTGCAGAGCAGCCCAGGGCATGGGTCAGCCCATGCACTTGGGGTACCACTGTACTGGGCACGCCTGGCAGGGGTGGTGAGGGTCAGTTCTCAGTGCAAATTTCCCAGGGTCCAAGGAGTCCAAGGAGTGGGTACAAGGCTGAAGGAGAACTGTCTAGGAGCTGTTTGAGATCTAGTCCAGCAACCATGGTTGCCTTCACTTCCATGTTCCCCAGATACTCAAACTGGAACAAAACCAGGCTCCTCTCTCCCTCCCTATATCCCATTCCTCAAACTGACCTGAAAGGCAAAGATCTCTTCAATGAGTGTGTTCCCAAAGACAAAGCTGGAGCCAGCTGTGGTGTAACTCAGGAAAACCTGCAAGTGCAATTGTTACACAGTAAGACAGATATCTCCAATGGCTTTTTCCTCAATATCTCACCAGAGACATCCCTCCTGCCCCTATCCCTCAGCTCAGTTCATTGCCCCAGTAAAAAATGGCCCTATGAAACCTAAGCTGGGGATACTGGTGGGTTGTCTTGGGCTGTGGGACACTGCTCCAAGCCACAAGGGACACTTCATCTAAAGGTCCGGGCTTTTGTTTTTGTTGTATAAAACCAGAATAGAGCCGGCTTTTCTCCAATCCCAAACGCAGCCTTTGTTTTGAGTGTGAGGTACCTGCAGCTTCTTAACCCAATGCCACCCTTAGCTCTCCTCGCACATTCCAGAGCAGCTACTTAAAGGGCACAAGCACAGGATGGGGTGAGCAGACGGACAGTACCTGGACCTGGTCACCCAGCCACTGGAATGCTTGGATGCCAGGGGTTGTTCGGAGGATGAAGAGTCCAAGTAAAAACTCCAAGCCAAGGCCCCAGACAACAGCTCTCCAGGACACCTGACACCAAGAGCAGAATGGGAACTGACACGTTAGCAGGGCCTACAGACTTCAAACTCCAGCCGCCTTCCTCTCTCAACAACTGAACATAGCAGACATCATCACACAGTGCCCTGAGTGTTGGTCACAGAAATGCTTCTGAAGAAAGTGTCATAAAAACCCGCAAGAATACCCTGGTGGCAGAGCAAGGAGAAAAAGAGTTGGTGGGATCCAGGAAATGGCTGATGGAACATAACCTACTAGGCTTACCCAGGAGAACAGCACAGAGATCTTCTAGTGGTTCCACTATCTTTCTAGTGGATCTTCTAGTATTACGTATTTCCTAGAGCAAAATCTGCACTTCACTAACTAATTTGGAGGAAGAGGGTGCAAGAATTGTCCAAAATATTTAAGCAGGTGTCAGATGGAAGTCAGTGGGACATTGCTTCAATTGCTTCTTCCCAAGTCCAAGTGCCCTTCCACCTGAGAGAGTGTGTTGCTGGGTCTGTCCCAGTATGAAGGAAGTGCTGCAAAACAGGATGGAGGTAACAAGAGGCAGCCCTGAGGTGAACAGCGAGAAGGAGAGCAGAGCGATAGCTTTGGGACTACTGCTTTTTACCCTGGTCTCTGCTCCCCAGGCTATGCCAGGTCCTAGCAATGCCCAGGAACCCTGCTGGCTCCTCTGCTTCCTTTGAGGAACCCATGGCCTTCTCCTACAGAATGGGAACATAATACTAATGGGAGCAGTTGTAGCTCAGTGTTGGTGATCAGGGAATGTAAGCAAGACACACTTGTTCTCTGCCTCTCCCTCAGCTTTTGGTGCTGGACAGTCACACCCAGCGAGGGGAACAATGGCCAAGCCACATCTGACGTGCTTACTGCGCCGTGGTGCTTCGAGCAGGCAAACAGGACCAGAACCAAAAAGCAGAGACCAGCCAATGAGATGAGCTGCTTTGGATTCCTGCCAGTGTCCAAGACCAGCCACGTGATCAGACCGCCCAGGAGGACCACACATAGCAGCCTGCAAAAGAAATCTCCAATTGCATCACAGAGGGGATGTCCCCATGGGGAACAAATGAAGGACAAGTTCAGGAGCTAATTTGTCCAGGAGACGCCACAAGGGCCATACATCTATTGAAATCTAGGGGTTAAGTTAAATGAGGGATGCAAATTGCCATCACACTTGCTCTTTGGCTGAACATCCCATAAGGGAGATCACTGCAGGGGCAGAGGCGTTGGCAGCAAGTCATTTTTGCCACCACTTCTAGTGTTGTCCCCAGGCGGGGCAGGCCTCACCGTTCACAAGGCTGCTTGTACAGTACAGGGCAAGCGCCCAACGGTCGGCCCGGCCCACCCAGCTGTGGCTGGGAAGGCACAGGAGTGTCGTTCCCAAGCCCAGGGGCAGATGGGGCCCTGTCTCTTCCTGACTCACCATTTCAGCCATGGCCAGGACTTTCGGAAGCATTTCCGACAGGGCGTGAGGAGCTGCAGTACCTTTGCCCCGCAGTGCTTCTGGAAAAGACTCCAGCACGTGAAGAAGACAACCAGAGCAGTCATAACAACCAAGGCGAGGGCTCGCTGGAAGTTGAGCCAACAGGCTGCAGCAAAGTAGCACACGTAGGCTGGGGAAGATATGTTGGCAGTCAGCAAGGACAGGACTGTGGGATCATACTACTAACTGGGCCTAGCGTTGAGGTTCGTTCCTCTCCAGCCCCCCTTCCCTGGCCTCCCTTAGGGCCCCCATCTGTACGTGGGGAGGCTTTAGGGAGCACCACGCCAGGTGTCATGCTTGACAGCATCTCAGCTATCTGGGGCTATATGTGGAGTGAGCAGAAGAGGAACAGCAAACCCTCTGGATAGCGGGGGAAAGGGATTGGAGGTAGTGCTCACAGAACAGGAGTGGTGAGGTGAGAGAGAAGAAGACAACAGGGCTAGTGAGAACAGCTACAGCCTCCAGGCAGATGATGGTGTTGGAGACTGAGAACATGACCAGCCAAGAGTTACAGAAGCCTCAGCATTGAGGAGACCTCACCTATACAAAGGAGCCCCAAGATGACCTTCCGTATTGCCTTGGCATGAGCCTTACAGAAACGCTTTGCCTTGAATGCCGGATGCTGAGCCTTCCTGGGGAGATTCACACAGCAGAGATATGAGAGGCCCAGAAGATGGATCTGGGCTCCATGACCAAAGCTAGCAGAGCCGTATCAAGACCTTGTCTCCTACACACAGCATTTGCAGCAGTGGTATGTCAAGTGTAGATGCCTTGGCGTTTGCCAGCTGTACCGCTTGCTCACACCACACCTCACCACCGCTGCTTTACAAAACCACACGTAGTTATCAGGCCATCTATGTCCTGCCTTATCTTTACAGCATGACCCTACCCTGCTCCCAGATCAGGTACATGCAACCCAGGTTTGACAGTACAACAGCTTCCTATGACTACTGGAAATATCTTACAGGCAAAGTGCTGCATGCACCTTCAGAGAAAACTTTACCTCCAGTAAGAGGAGAATCTGCCTTTTCCTTCTCTCCCCCTCTCCTCCTTGGTCCCACCACACGGATCTTCAGATTTTTCATGGAGCCGCTCCTCCCCCTGGAAAACACCATTAGCCAGAGTGCCCTCGGCAGCTTGCCGTGCCTCGACGGGAGGGGAAGGAGAGATTTACCTGGGTGCTGAAAGCTGGGTTATCCAGGCCCTTCTCGAGGTTCACCAGGGTTATCTCATTGTCTTCCATCTTGAGATAGGCTGCAGCTTCAGTGTGTTACAGAGACAGCACTGCGAAGGGTTAACACACCAGCTGGGAGAGAAAGCTAGGATCAGCTGGGAGAGAAACCTGCCCCTGATTTTTGAGTTTGGGACTCTGAAAGGAGGATATCCTTGGCAGTCGAGATTCATAGAGACTCTTGCACCAGCAAAGCAAGGGACTAACTTCTGGGGATCTCAAGTCATGGGATTAGTGTGTTGGCTTCCTTGCTCTTTTCTGCCTCCAAGGTCTTTGCTCTTCCTTGCTTCCAAGGAATTACAGATAAAAATTAAACCCACGTGACTAAATATGACACAGTAAGGAGAGCCAGCAGCGCTCCTTCAAGGGAACAATGGGGAACACAGGCCTGAGTGTGGGTCCCCTTGTTAAAGTCCTGTGACACTTTGCAAAAAATAAATAAATAAATGTGACCACATCCACCAATCAAAGCTCTTCATATAACTCCATGACTGGAGGATAAGAAAGATGGTCCTTTCACACTGAAGGACTTGTCAAAATAGACAAGTCAAATTGGGAGAGACGAGACAGAAAAGCTGAAAAACAGTATTTTGCCCTGGCAGAAATCCTTGGAGCAATTCCATCGGGACCCCTCCCGGGTTCCTCTCTCTGAAAAAAAAGGCTGAAGCAGAAGCAGGAAAGACACAGAGGAGGTGGCAAGCAACCTGCAGATGCCCTTCTGTGTGAGCAAGGAGGCAAGAGAGAAGTCCTTGTTGTGGAGGAGGGATGGCTGAAGGGAGATGTAAGGCTTGTCCCTTAAGGACGGCACAGAGACGTCGAGGAAAGCAGGGTTATCCGTAGTTTCTCACAGGATATTAGGGGAGTCTCTCACAAGCAGAGGGGAACTCAACAAACCAACAGGTCCACAGCCAAGCAGGCGATCACAAGCTGCAGAAGGGGCAGTGAGATGAGGCCCCGGACGTGCTCCAGAACCTCCCTCCGTGCCCGGAGTCTCCCCGTGCCTTGTCGAGCACGGCCTTTCTCAGCCCCAACGCTGGGCCCTGCTCCACGGCCTCCGGGACCCTGCTGACCAGCCCTGCCAGCGCTCCCCTCTCCCCGCGCCGGCGTGTCCCCCCGGGACACACCAGGGCTCAAGGAGCCCTCCAGGCCTCCGCCCAGAGACCCCAACCCCAGAGAGCCCCTCAGGCTTCCCAATAGTCTGGGACTCCCCCCCAGATCCACCCCAGGGCTCAGGGACCCTCCCCAGGGCTCACAGCCCCCCAAGGATCCACCTGGGGCACTAAGGCCTCAGGGATCCCCCCAGTCACCCCAGGGCTCAGGGTGCCCCCCATGCCCAGCTTCCCCCACCCCCACAGACCCTCCCTCCCCCCCGCCCTGCAGCCCATGGCCCCGCCCACAGCTCATATAGCCCCGCCCACATCTCATATAGCCCCGCCCCCCAAGCAAGCAAGCAAGGGGGCCCGCCAAGCCCTTCAGCGGCCCTTTGATTGGCTCCTCTCCCCCGAGAGGGTATGGCCGGGTGAGCGGACAACCAATAAGAAAGGGCCATGGGGGGTGGGAAGGAGGGAATTGCGCTCCCCCCACACCGAGGGTCAGCGCCCCGCGCCGCCCGCAGCCTCGCCTGCCGCTCTGGCCTCGCCTCTCGGGCCTCGCGCCTCCGCGGTGCTCCGCGCTCACCCGCACCGGCGCCGAGCCCGCCGGGCGCCTGGCCGCGCAGCTCCCCGCGCGCGGTTATCGATTAACAGCTCGGTCCAAAGAGCTGGGCTTGGCCGCAGGGCCGGCCCCGGCATCGCTCACGCCCTGGCCCGGCCCGACTGGGCACGCGGGCGCTGCACGACGGCGGCGCCCGAGGCGGCAGCGCTCGGCTTGCCGGGCGGCTCCGAGCCGCCGTGGTGCCTCCGCCGCGGAACCGGCTCAGCTGCCCGTCCTGGCCCCGCATTCCTCCCTCTGCGACGCGGCGGCCCCTCAAGCGCCGGCGCCCGCGGGAGTTCCTGGACGCCGACCAGGTGCCGCTGCCTCACGCAGCCCGGAGCCGCTCTGCGCACGCGCGCTGCCTCCGTGAGCTCACGCGCCGCCCGCCGCTAAGAGCGCGCGCGCCGCCGCCGCGCCCCAGAGCCCGCGTAGCGCGCCGTGATCGTATAGTGGTTAGTACTCTGCGTTGTGGCCGCAGCAACCTCGGTTCGAATCCGAGTCACGGCATCGCCTCCCGGGCGGTCCCACGGCATGTGGGCTCTGTTTTTTTTTTTTTTTCCCCTCCACCGCTGTGTTTTCCTGTGTTTTGCTTTCACTCAATTTTTACAGCTTACCCTTTGGGTTCCTGGCCCGGGCAGCGCGTGGCTGTTTGCACGCGGCGGCCTCGCGGTGCTGGCGGCCTCTCCTCCCGCAGCATGCTCCTGCCGGGAGCCTGGGCACTGCCCGCAGCGTGAGCCAAGCCATGGACCCCCATATGGACACTTGGGTACCCCCGTAGTCACCCTAGTTCTCCGGCAGCCCCAGGGCATAGAGCCAAGCTCCCTCGCGGGGACGCAGCTTCCAAGGGTGCCTGCTGTACGGTGCTCAGGAGCGTGCGTGGCCCAGGGAGCATCCCTGGACACGGGGCCTGGTCCGGCCCGGGCATGCCACTCGCCACAAGCCCTCCTGAGCGTTCACCGCCCGCTCGCATGGGGCCCTGTGCCTCCACTCCCGGAGGAGGCGGCCGGGAGCTGCGGATCGTTCCTGCCGCCGCCCACCAGGAGCGCGACGGGTTTTACAGCGCTGGCGGAAGGAAAAGGAGGGTCGTCTGAAGGCGGAGATGAAGACAAGCCGAAAAAAGAAAAAACGAGAGCCCACATGCCGTGCGACCGCCCGGGAGGCGATGCCGTGACTCGGATTCGAACCGAGGTTGCTGCGGCCACAACGCAGAGTACTAACCACTATACGATCACGGCGCGCTACGCGGGCTCTGGGGCGCGGCGGCGGCGCGCGCGCTCTTAGCGGCGGGCGGCGCGTGAGCTCACGGCGGCAGCGCGCGTGCGCGGAGCAGCAGCGCGCCCTCCACCGCTTCCCGGCGGCGGGGCATGCGCACTGCCGCCGCGTTTCCGTGGCGACGGGAGCGCGGCAGATCCCCCCGCTGCGCGGCGGCGCGCGCATGCGCGAGGCGCCCCCGCCTCAGGGGCGGGAGGAGGGCGGCGGGGGGAATGGCGCCGTGAGGCCCCCCTCAAACCCAAGGTGCGGGCTTGTGTGTGAGGGAGGAAGGCCTCGCCCTGCCCCGTGCCTCTCCGTGGGCCCTCTCCCATGTATGTTAGTGGTGCTACCGAGCTGCGCTCTGAAGGAGGAGAGGCCCGGACCCCTGTGCCCCCCGCCGACTCCCGGGAACCGTCCCCTGCGGCTGCTGCTGTGTCCCAGTGCAGGGACAAGGTGTGGAGGGGCTCCCTGTCACCTGGCGGCAGCAGAGAAGCCTGCAGTGAGCAGGGTGTCCCACTCAGGAACGTCAGCGGATGTGGAGAGAGCGCCCACCGCGCTGCGCCTTGGCCGTGTGCTGGGCGCTGCGTGTGGGTGCGCGGCTCCAGGTCTCCTGTGCGCTCGGAGAAGGCACCTGTGGCTTGGCCCGCCTGAGTTGGGGGAAACAGCAAAAAAGCGATGATCTCAACCCTTGCAACGAGATAAAGGCTGTAGCGGCAGGGAGGGAGCAGCCAAACATGGCAGCAGGCAGGGCGGTGGCGAGTGGAGAGGAGACAAGGGGTGCAGGCTTTGCTGGGGTGCAGAGAGGGGCCAAAGCTGCCCCCGACCACCGGAGGCAGTGGTCCCGTGCCAGCACCGCCTCCTACCCACGGGCTGTGCCACCCCGCAGGGGCTGAGCTGGCAATGGGATGGGGCTGCTCCCTATAAATTGCGCTGCTGTGCCCTTTTGTGGTAGGGCTTGACGCACAGGACGTCACTGGTGTGGCCTGGGTGATGCAGGCGCACCGGGATGCATCCGTGCAGGGTGGTGGAAAAGGGACGGGGGGGTTGGCTGAACTGCCTGATGGATGGCCCCATCCCTTTGGGTTTTGCTCAGCATCCGGCCACGGTGGCTGCTCTTCTGACCTTGCTGCGTCCCTCAGCGGCCCTCAGATGCCTGTGGCTTGTATCTGACAGGATTTTAAAGGTGCCTGCAATGCCGAAAGCGCCAGCGCAGCCAGGCAGGGTGCTGCCGGGCCCAGCCGTTGCCACCGTGTGGCATGAACATCAATCTTCCAGCTGGCACAGGGACAAGAGCAATTCATCACTCCGCAGCTCTGGCAGCTGCTCTGCCCCTCTCCGGCTGCTCCCGCGCCGGGGCAGCCCCCCGCCTCCTCTCCCCGTCTCGAGGAGGCGGATGGGAGGCAGCACAAATGGCGCTGCTGCCTCTTTTTGTGGTCTCTGGAGCAGCCGGGGCAGCAGAGCTGGGGCTCGGGGAGGCGTGGGGGACACCAGCGCTGGGAGTAGGTGCTCCGTGGTAGAGCATTGTGCGCCGCTGAAGCTATCGCTGTCATTTGCGGGTGGTCAGAGGCCGTAAATTTAACGTGCGATTTTTGTCTGTGGCTGGAAACCCACCTCCCTTGCTAGCCACCTTCCATAGGAACATGGGATGTTTTCATCTCCTGCAGAAGAGCGCAGTATCTGAGTCCCGGGGTTCTTTTCCAGCCTTCCGCCAGTTGCAGCTTGAAGATTTCTGGCCAAATGAGCTCTTCCAGCTCATGTGCCAAGGGTGCCACCAACTGAAGGTGGAGGGCTCGGGCATTTCTTGACATGAGCCCTTGGAAGTTCAGCTTGGATGCTCTTCAGCAACTTTAGGAAGCTACAACAGTGCATGAGATTTTCTTGCTTTTCCTATAGCCCAGGCTTCAGAGGGCATTTTCCAGGCAACAAACACACTAACTTTATTTTATTTTTCATTTTGGGATCTCCTCGCCTGGCTCCAACACTCAGAGATCAAGGAAAAGAATCCCCAAACTAACATGCAAGGGAATCACCAAAGATTTTCCACTCGAGCACCAGGGAGCACAAAGCCCAGAGCAACCTCTTGGCCCTTTCCCCGTGGGTCCCGCGTGCAGCCGACGCTGGGATGTGATCAGAGCACCCCAGACGCTGCGCAGACGCTGTTCCTGCCCTCTAGGAATGCTGCCACTTGTCCCTATCTGCCCCGTCTCCTTGTCGTGTTGCGGCCGCCAGCTCCAAGCGCTCGCTCTGCCTTTGTCTGCGAGACAAGCAGGAGCCTCCTCCAGCAGCAGGGATTTATAGCCTGCGTGCAGCCACCTCTTAACCCCTCTTTGTGATGCTGAGAGGGCGGAAAGCAGGCAGCCTGCCCAGGGTGAAACGCCCCTGCTCGGAATTCACCCGCATTTTCTGCCTCCTGTCCGTTCTGGGGACACCAAGCTGGACGGGGGTGAATGCCACTGGCCGAAGGACTTGCGTCCCCTCTGCCTTGGGGAATGGCCTTGGTTTTGCTCTTGTCCTCTGTGCCTGTCCTCGTGATGATTGATGGCTGTCCATCTTAGAGACAGATTGGGGACCGGTGATTTGCAGCCCCCAGGCCATGCAGAGCTCCAGTCTAGGGAAGG